ACCGGTAGTCCATCGGTTCTGGATGAAATCATGCCAGGAGGCATATATGCATGCTATTACGACGCAGCCCTCTGAGCAAAGAGCGAGTGCACATGCTTAGGTGACGCAGGCTATTTGTCAGGCTTATATGCCAGTTCATGGTGCGTCTTGGATTACTTTCTCTGTCGCATCGAACTCGTTAGTTCCTTAGAGACTCTCGGAGTCAAAATTCTTCGGTCTGCTATAAGGATGGATGGACTAGCCACCCGGCGTACCCTTCCACCCCTTACGAGCCTGAAAGTTGCTGTTCTATCATGCTCGTTTCTATTCTTTTTCTATCTAGACTGTTTTGTCGTCTGTCCGCCTTGACGTGTTCTTATTTGGTTCTCGAAACGGCGTGTCCGTGACCTAGCTTTCTTTCCACGCTTCATGCGACCATCATGACCCAATCTCCGACATGTCTCTCATAAATATACATCCACAAAGAGCGTTCTGCATGGCTCTCATTAAGCAGAGAGGACACTTCACTGGAACCTCAATCTTGATTCATTTGTGTGTCTTTCTCATCCTAGTTTCCTGCATCCGAGCGCCTCCTCTCACTCTACCTACCCACTCCATCAGCAGGCTCGCCCTCGCAACAGACCTCCCATGTTGATTTCCCTCTTTTACTCCCTCGCTATATTGAACATAAATCTCAGCGATTCCGAGCTAGCTCTGTCGGCATTAGGACAATGACCTGTGTCCCTCATAGACCACATGATTTACGCATTCTTTAGGCTTGACTGGCGAGTTCAAAGACGAGCGTGGGGTGGAAAGGACTTAGGAGGATGGCGAGTGCTACCCGTAGACAATCGCTGTGCGGGAGTTCGTCGCACTATGTGCTGTATTTAGAGTGGGTGACCGTGTGTGGGATGGCTTAGTATGTGCGGATCAAATGATAAGTGCGGAGAGGAAGAGGACGTTACCTAATCTATTCCCAGAGCAAGGATAGACCATATTCCATCATTCCATTCAGATGTTACTCCATAATTATATGCTGACTGTCGGAGAATAGTCATATACATCAGCGAAATACTGGCATGCAAAGTTCGCTATGTTATGCCTCTTATCAAAATTTGCACCACACCTGAAAATGGCAGATAAGGGGAATCGAACCTCCAGCTACAGAGACAAGGGCATTATTAACTGCTACAAGGCGTGGTTAATAATAGATACCGTTGTTGTACTCGTCGATCGTTATGGCAAGAATGATATGTTACGATGAAACGGTGATGAACCTAGCTGCAGCCCTGCAGCTATTTGTCCGTCCTAACATGGATATCTACTCGCCGTACTCGACGTGCCATTTCTTCGTGCCCCAGTCGATGTCTTCCATAGAGCGATATGCAATCCAGTCCATAGCTAGTGTTGCCACAGTCACCAGCACAGAGTAACACACGATAACATCGTTCCCACCTCAGAGCTCGATAATGATATAGTGTAAAGGCCAACCGGCCTCATTCCGGGGGCTTATCTGCCTAAATCAATGTTCGGAACTTTCTAAATAAAGTAAGTAACCGGTGACTAAGTGACTAACACTCATAACTCGAACGGTTGGCCTGGTTCCGCATTCCAGAGATTAGACTCACGACAGAACACCAACCTCAGTGATGGCTTGATGAGCACCGTTCATATAGTCTGGCAGCCAGACGTCCGAGGGCAGCTCGGGGTTCGATTCCCCGTATGTGAATAGGTGCTGAACTGCTTAAGTTTTTATACCCAGTACGGTGAGCTGTCGTAGGGAACGACATCGTTTCGTATGAAATCCGTACGCTGTATCTAGGGCTGCGCACCGTACCGTATACGGTATACGGCCGTAAGGTCCTGGTCCTAGTCGGTAACGGAAGTTACCATATACCGTACTGTAAAACATAATTTGAAAGCCTTTCGGTGTCAGTACGGATATCTTACGGCCGTCCACGGCCGTTTACGACCGTCAATAAATAAAATGTGTCTATTTAATTGTGCTCTAGCTCATTACTCGTTTAAAGTCTTACCAATAGCCGCATGCTCGCGCCAGAGACGATATTTTGTATCCCCCGACTCACTCTCAATGGAGAAGTCACCATCGTCTGGATCAGAATTGATGTTATTCATTCCAGCTGAGGAAAATGAGCAGGAGTGATATAAACTGTATGAGCAATGATACTCACCATCCCGCCTGCTTTTCTTCCCATTCTTCTTATCCTTCTTGCGATGGCAGCGAGAATTAGTAGCCTTCAGCCATCGTGATAGCTGATCGTCGTGTTATCCCATATGTCCTTAGTAATGAGCGTCGCAGGAAATACAGAGAACCCAAACGAAAAATAAGCCAAAAGCATAAAGGGCTGCCTTCACGGTTCAGGGAGCCTGAGAGTCGGAGTCGGCTACTCAGCATCGAAGCGAATAATCAAAGAAGCCGCCACGTACGTTCTCTCGAAGAAAACATGCTTTCAATCCAAGATCTTGCCTTACACAGAGAAATCGCGCAGCATCGATTAGCGAAGAAGCAGGACTTTGAGACTTGATTTGGATGAGACTGCCGCAGAGATACAAAGGGGACTTTGACCAAAGGAAGACGAGCATTAATCGTGGGTAGGTGCAACTGATGATGGTGGTGGTGCGGTGTTACCGGTGGCAGAAGGAAAAGTGTCTTCGGAAAACGGTCCGAGTGTCCAGTTGAAATTCCCACGGAATCACGAAACGACCCGCGCGCACCCATAGGCACCCGTCGTCCGGGCGTGACCCGGGGGTTTCCTTCCCTTCACGACTCGACTGGTAGATCTCGTTCTAGTTCTTACCCCTACGAACTCCTTCAGTTAAATCTCTGCCGCAGACTCGAATGATGTTGTGCCTCGCCATTGGCGACCAAGCCAGAGGCCAAGTGAGATCTCCCAACTGGGTGACTGAGAGGTCCTGGTACTGGGTGAAACTCAGAAGCGATGCTCGTCATTCGTTGATGTGTCTCTTGTATCCTAGTAGTAGCACCTCCTCGCAAGAGCTAATTGTCGTCGCCCACAGTCCCATACGACTGAGTTTGCCTTTCGCATTGAAGATGTATAACTCGAGGCAGGAACGGGAGGCGTTCTCTAAGCAGCGTTCTGGACAGTAGGCCTAATTCTTTCTCGCATCTTTCTTCTTCTCATAGCAGAGTTTTTCTCCTTCTGATTCGAAGAACGAGATTGACCAGGCCAGAATGCATCGCTAGTTCTCGATGTATGCATCTACTTTTTATGTCGTCACGCAATGAAGCATAAATGTCGCCCTGCTATTCTTGACACGTGATTGTCTCTTCTTCCCTAAGAATTCCGAGGTAATTATCCTATTTTTCCAGTCAGTTCACCTTGACCTTCGTCTAGGATGGAAGATGGTGCATCAATGGTGGACAAAGCAGGACTCTCCGAAGGCGAAGCCAGTTTCGCTTTATGGACATAACTGTACGTTAATGTCATTTGGCTTAATAGCGTGCTTTTTCTTACCCATCGTGCAACAATTTAGGCTGTATTCCCATATATTTGAGTTGAAACTTACCATCTTTTATCCGTGCTCTCCGTGGTCACGACTAGCAAACCAAGAATTAAGATGTCCGGTATAGAAAGACCTAAAATTCAACGCTATATGCCTCGCCGTCTATTCCGTTACTCCGTTCTATGACTTCCGGTTCTGAATAGCACCGCACCGCTCTTATACGAGAAGGTGAACATCCTACCTGACAGGTCTTGCGTAATACTTTCTTCCTTTTTTGTCCGATCTCCTTTTTCGGTGCAGTCTAACTTCCGTCATGCTGTTTGAATCTCACCGCCTTACGAACATGCAGTGCTACTACGCGTCCATGTCGAACATAGGATCCGCATAGGATCCCTGCGGCGAAATTCCATCTGACCTTGAATTCGCGTGAAAACATCCCAACGTGTCCTACTTGAACCACACTCACCGACGACAAGCAGGGAGAAGCTAAAATTTGACTTCCCGAATTTACGAGTCTCTTATAGCTCATTGTTACTGCTTTGTGGCAGAAGTTCTAGTCTCTTGATCCGATAATCAGGCCTGAACACCTCGAGTCCTCGACAACGTTCGTCCGTGTTCATCTGCTTTTGGTTCGGATCTCGTCGTGGATAGGATATCTAATACGTATTATTAACTTCGCACTTATTAACCATATCCTAGTGTATTCGCTACAGCGATAATTACCTCGTTTTGAATGCGTCGAGTCCTTTGAACGTCACATCAGGAGGTGGTAGGCAACTGCTGCGGCAGACGCGAGCTTACAATACCGCCCGAGGTCGATGGGTCGGTTTTCTGGAAAGCCTGGTTGAGAGAATGAATTGCGATGGGACTGTGCCATTCCTGATTTTCTCTGGACCATTTCTCGGAGAATTTGAGCTCGTCACCCTGCTGAGGAAAAGGTTTATGACTGGGTTAAAAGGCAGCCCATGGGATATGAAGGTAACAGACTGACTACTTATTAGCACAAGAATGACACCGGCAGGATATCTCTGACATGTCAGTCTAGACCATCAACTGTCACTGGAATGACATGATTCTCTTTGGAGGCGCCAACCTACCTACCTGCCAATACTCGTCCCCATTCTTGCTCTGTGGAGTCGAGACCGGAAGAAGACACTATTTCCGGTATCAGGTAGGCAGCTTATGCCGAAATGGGCGTCTCATGACTGCGTATGTGTGCCTGATTGCGATGCATTCTGATGTGCGGGCTCTGTCCATCATTTGCAGTGCCCAATTATTACTACGACCCAGATGTCAAGAGGCCGCAATTATATGGGCGTAATACCTGTGATAGATCGGATCGGTGCAAGTGGACTATTTCTGGACACATGTTGGTTATTAGTTCGCTGAGGCGTCATAGCCTTCCACAGCGACTGGTTGGAACCATACCACCACCACTACATCAGTCCCCCTCTGGTACACACCAAAGTATGCATAGACGTCTTACTCTCGATGTCCCAAGCCCTCATTCTGACTACCGCTATTATCTACAACCGATGTTCCCCGACGCACCGGCGTCCCCTGATGAACCAAGTCCTGTGATATCACCTACCCGCACGCGTATGTTCTATTTCAACTACCTTGTAACAGACACAAAAGTATGCGTTTTCATTTTACTCTAGATGTTTCAAGCTGACGTGAATATGAATAGTTAACGGATGAAGAACGATGGCACCGTCGTTATTACGATTATATTTTTCCAAACATGGAGAAGTCACGCTATGAAGGCGATGTTTTGCGATCCCTAACAAATGAAGTAAGCAGGTAAATCCACTGAAGGGCGGGCAGATGCTAATATATTCCAGACCGTACTACGCCAACGGCAACAGATTCAATATGATCATATCGATAGGTGTATCTCCGGGTTCCACGTTTATGACTCCATGAAGGCCAACCAGGAGGGATGGGCCATTCCAGTGCTGCAGCAACTCTACGACAATGGAAAGCCCGTCATACTATCCTCCCTCGCTGACGCTCCCTGCGCGGATCTCGGAGTTGATGGACTCTTAGAGAATTTTAACATGATACTTCGCACTGAACACCCTCTCACACCTTCTCTATCCAGCTTTTTCAAGTCATGCATCTCGAAACATTATGACTTTGGCACTGCGTATGCGCATCTCCGGCCGCTTTGGAAGAATGGCTTCAAACGACACAACCGTGAAATAGTGGACAGGAACATGCGGGAGGAAGTAATTATGGACAAAATAATCGTCAGTCGCCTTGTGCCACCTCGACGGGTCTGGGATTTGTATAGTAATCGGGTGGTACCATGGTGGATCGCATGCCAGAATCCATGGGCGATATCACACGCGTGGATGGATGAGAAGGATCGTAAGCCTGTGCTAACAGCAATCAACGGCTACAAGTGGCCCGTGCCGATCCCGAAAGATACTGACTTGGATGCCATTCGGATTGAGATGATCAATCTAGGCGCGGAGTATGTGTGGTTGGACGTCCTCTGCCTGAGGCAAGCAGGCGGAGAAGAGGAAAATGTGCGCGCGGCGGAGTGGAAAGTAGATGTTCCCACAATTGGACGCATATACGAAATGGCCGAGAGAGTGGTGTACTACTTTTGCGGGTTAGGTCGACCATTCACGACTGAGGAGAGTGGTTTGAAGAGTGATAGGAGTTGGTTCAGACGCGCTTGGACCCTGCAGGAGATCAGCAAGCATCCCATCATCGGCGGTACTTCCATCGATGACACGATGGTGTACGAAATGTTGCCAGCCAAATTTTGTGAGCAGCTGCTGTCGCTGGAGAAAATCGCAAAGCGTGTATTCGAACAGACTGATGTGTTTTCCATATTGTCTCACATGCGGGATCGAGTATCGACCAAACCCAGAGACAGAATTGCAGGACTAGCATATCTTCTGAGACCACAGATCATACCCGCATATTATGAGGCGCAGTCGGAAGAGGATGCCTGGACTGCATTGGTGAATGTAATCGCACATGATTACAAGGCGCCAATGCTTTTCCTATACCCCGAACCTGGGAACGGAAACGAAAGATGGAGACCATCATGGGACCAGGTCATGAATGGGAGCCTTCCATCTCACAATCCGTATTTGCTGCACGACGCCGTCACGTGGAATCGGGAGACGAATACTAACTCGTATCAAGCTTATTTCATCCGATCGGCCCTTGTCCGAGGACTGGACCGGGAAGATAAGCATGGGAAGCCTCGGTGTGGAGATTTTATTGTCAAAGACAGGTTCATTGGGAGAGACCATAGTTTCAAGATCGTCGCCGCCCACCAACACCGAATTGCCGAGGGTTGGTATACAATTTTTAGTAGTGAAAATAGAGGACTCCATTCAGAGGACTCAAGGTACTGGGTTTGCGGTCGGATGAGACCAGGGAATACATTCGAGAAACAGTCGGTTTTCCAGATGCCGTACTTTGTGGATGCCGAAAGGCTGAGGACTCTGCGCATGGGTGAAATGTCTCGCGTCACTCTTGCGTGATGGACATAGATGCGAGATACTCTCGAAGTTTGTTCACAGTAAAGATCACAAAGGATTCTGTATGTACGCCGTTTGTCAAAATGACGGATAATGATGCTAACAACTTACAAGTGACGCTGACACACTAACTGTCCCCGCACCGTCTTTCGAAAACAGTAGGAACTCGCGTTGCAGTCAAATTCCTTTTACCATAGACGGTATTTCATAAGCCAGCCAGTATCGGTGGCTACAGCCGCTCCCTACCCCCTGGTATAACGTTCAAGGGACTTGACGTATTCAGGCGAGGAGTTATCACGGAAGCGAACGCACAGAATATGATCCACGTATGTTCAGCCAAGTGTCGAAGATGTAAGGGGAACCATTGAGCGTAAGTTCTCGTAGAAGAGCATCTGTGATTGTCACTATTCGGCCTCTATTGGATCCGTCGCAATAGGCCCTTACAAACAAGAAGCTTCATGGATTGACTTATCACGGGATCGCAAGCCGTTGCCGGCAGATAAAACGACCTATGGCCCTCCACGTCCAGCTATAAGACTCGCCTTATCAACAGCGACGTACTGCGTAGACAAGGCGAGGTAGTTATGGCAGTACGGATTGTGACACGCAAGTACCACCATAAATAAAGTTCAATCTCGCCCCGGAGTCGTAAGAATTCCCCTCTGTTGAGCAGACAGCACTGCTTGTGTATTGTCATCTCTAGGATGATAGTAAACAGCTCGAGGTCGATAATGTGCACAAAATCCAGGAGAAGTAGGCAGCATCATAGTTGAGCATGTCGTAATACTAGCGTCCATTCCAAGATGAATCGGAAATAGCATAATAGGAATAGCCCGTAGCTCGGTGATTGGAAGCCTTAATGAGGAGAGACTGGATAAGCAATGTCGAAAGAATCTATTGAGCCACGGAAGAGGAAGAAGTAACCCAGACCACGCGATGAGTCCTATGGTCCCTCACACGCAGAAGAATTGAGAATACGATAACTTTTAATTGTAGAATACGGATATACAATGAATTCTGTCGGACATGGTGAGAAAAACCATCATTAAGTCAAAGGATATCGACGTACAGTGAAATATACACAAGCAAAGCTGGTATGAATCCATCGTGATTTCCTATTCTGCGTCGTAAGAGTGAGAGACAGAATTATATGAACAGAAGGAAGTACTGACCTGAAATAGAGGCCGTCTGTCTCGCTCGCATTGGAAGGAACGGGCCATCAACCGTGTTCAAGATCAGTATGGGCAACATCCATAGATATCCATCCGCATGACGACGTCTGAGCGGAAGGGAGATGGACGCGGAGGAACGTCGTCGAGGGCCATCAGATAGGGAGACGAAAACTTGTGCAGCATCGTAGCTTACTACCACTGTCCGGGGGATTCGTCCTATTCCTGCACCACATCTCGAATACGAATGGTGACCTTAATCGTACCGAGCCCTGGGAGATGACGACGGGCTTCTATGAGGAATTAAAGCTACTTATATACGTCAATATACAGTGAGCAAAACCTTCGTTCCTCAACTCACTCGTGTGATCCCAGGCGGCAGAACAGTTTGCCTCTCTCATACTGTTTGCAAGACAAACTGTAGTGTCCGAGTCCATGGTAGACGTTCCGTTGGAGACGAGTATGGGAACGGCAGCCGCACAGTTCAAGGTTGACCAGTGAATCGGGAGGAAAGAAATCCCAGCTCGGACTCCCAATCACGGCGGCAGCAGGCCCGACATCCGATGCGCACGGACCCGCGATGTTATTCGGTGTGACCGAACTCGATAGTAGTTGTATCGCCCTTCGGTTAATGACGTGCTTGACACACTGATCCAGGTCCTCACAACGACTTGGCATCCGACAGGACCTCGACGCCAACGACATCAGGGGGATGGCAGACGAATCTCTGCCTCCGTGCGATAGGCCGAGGGGCATCCTTGCGTGCTATCTGGATGTCGACGCTTTCGCCCTTTCACGAATCTTACACTGGCAGCAGCACAGTGGTCAGCAAGCATCTAATCGATCAGTCAACTTCAAATCAGAACCAATAAATGAAAAAAGAAAACTGGAAGACTTACTCCTTGGAAAGCTCCCAAATTTTTCTGTGATAGATAGATCCGTAGTTTTCGAATATACAGTATCAATCGTAGCAGCCATAGAGAGTCAGGAATAGACGACATTGGAATGAAGACGACCTCGGTCGGTGGCGGGGGAGATGTTGTCTTGATGGTCGATGTGAAGAATGCCACGTTCGCCGTCGATCCGTCCGATTTACTGATACGTGCATCGAAAGTGTGGAGAGGAGCCATCTCCGTGGCAACAAAGTAAATATCAGACCGGGAGCTGATATCTTTTGTTGATGTCGAAGAAACGCACAACCTTCTGGTGAATATAACATAGCAGATGGAGCATTATGGGAGGTGCTAAAGAGAGCTATGTCAAGAGTAGGCTAGAGACTGAAAAATAGGCAAACATACTCAGTGTAACGCTGTCCTAAAACCAATACTGTATGATGCCCTCTGTAAATCGGTATTCACTGATTGGCAGCAAAGGGTTAAGCTCAAAAGTTCGGTTGACGCGAAGGACTGAGCTTGCAGCTGCTGTGACGGTTGATTGTCGTTATTCTTCTATATGCCCATAGTAATGAGAGTCGCAGGAGATGCGAAGCGCCCAACGAGGGATAACACAGAAGGACGGAGGGCCGCCTTAACGATTCAGTTATTGTCAGCACCAAGACAAACAATCAAAGAAACCACCGCGTATGCTTCTCCTGAAGAAAACATGCTTTCAATCTAAGATCTTGTTTTACACTGAGAAATCATGCAGTATCGTTCAGCGGAGAAGCAGGACTTTGATATGTGATTTAGACGAAACGATCAGGAGACTTTGACCAAAGGACGACGAGCATTAATCGTAGGCAACTGATGATGACGGCAGAAGGAAAGCGTCTTCGGCCAAACGGTCCGAGACCGCAGTTGAAGTTCATATATAACGGCCCGTGCGCACCCGTTGCCCGGGCGTGACCGGAGTTTCCTTCCCCTCACTGCGCTCTCACTCGACTGGTTGATCGCGTTCTAGTAACTCTCGTACCTATTAGGTCCTTCAATTAAATCTCCGCTGCAGAATCGGATGACGTTTAGCCTCACAATTAGAAACCAAGCAAGAGGCCAGGTGAGATCTGCCAACTGGGGTGACTGAGGGGTGTTAGCTCTGGGTAAATCTCAGAACCGATGCTCTCGCTCATCATTCATTAATGTGTCTCTCTTTTATCCTAGTAGTACTTAGTATCTCCTCGCATGAGCTGGCTGTCGTCGCCCACAGCCCTGTACGAGGAAGTGGGATAGTGGTGAGGTGTACTGCTTTCGCATTGAAGATGTATAACTCGGGGCAGGAATGCGATGTATTCTCTGAGCGACGTTCTGGACGATAGGCGTATTTCTTTCTCGCATCTGTCTCATATTTCGCTGCCGCAGAGTTTTTCCTTCATCAGATTCGAAGAACGAGATTAGCCAGGCCAGAATATATCGCTAGTTCTCGACGTATACATCTACTTTTTATATCATCGTGCAATAACCCATGAATGTGGCCCTACTATCCTTGACACGTGATGATCTACTCTTCCTTAAGAATTCCAAGGTAATTATCCTATTTTTCGAGTCAGTTCACCTTGACCTTCGTACGATCTGACGTCTCACTGCTAGGATGGAAGATATTACATCCATGAGGTTCTATGCAGGATTCTTCGAAGGCGAAGCCAGTTTCGCGTTATGGACGTACTTGTACGTTAATGCCATTTCGCTGAATGACGCACTTTTGCCTATCGTGCAACAATTTAGGTTGTATTCAGTACTTGGATTAAAAATTATCGACTTTTCTTTGTGCTCTACGTGGTCACGACCAGCAAACCAAAAATTGAGATACCCGGTGCAGAGGGATCTAAAATTCAACGCTGTTTGCCTCGCTCTTTATTCCGTTACTCGGTTCTATGACTTTCGGTGCTCAATAACACCGCTCTCTGTGTCTTACACAAGCCGGTGAATAGCTGACCCGGCAGGCTTCGTATGGTTCTTTCTTCCTTTTGTGCGGTCTAACCCTTTTCGGTGCAGTCTAACTTCCATCATGCTGTTTGAATCTCACCGCTTCTATGAACATGCAGCGCTGCTACACGTCCGCGTTGAACATCCCATCTGACCTTGAATCCACGTGAAAGCATTCCAACGCCAAGGCTTGGCTGAACATACGTGGATCACACCCCGTGTCTTCGCTTCAGTGATAACTACCTTGCCTGAATATGTCAAGTACTTTGAATGTTACTTCAGGAGGGGGGAGTGGCTGTAGCATAGATACTGGCTTATGCTACCGTTCGAGGTCGATGAAGTAGGTGGTAGGAAAAACCTTCGTTGAACCTACTTTTCTGGCGTGACGTTCTGTAATAAATACCGTCTATATTAACAAACATCAAGTAAGAGGAATTTGACGGCAACGCAAGTTCCTACCGTTTTCACAGATGGTGCGGGGACAATTGATGGATCAGCGTCGCTTCTGATAAATGATTTCAAAACGTCTTGATAGTAGTTTATAGGGATTCTTCTTAATAGGTGAAAAATCAAACCCATAGGAACACCTTTCTCACTGGCATTATTATCCGTCGTTTTGATAAACGGAGTGCATACAGAATTCTTCATGATGTTTATTGTGAACATGCTTCGAGGGTATCTCGCAGTTATTTACGTCCATTAAGCAAGAATTACGCGAGATACTTTACTTATGCTTCAAAGCCTTCAGCCTTCCTACATCTACAAAGTACGGCATCTGGAATACTGATTCCTTCTCGAACCTTTTTCCTGCCCGCATCCGACCGCAAACCCAGTACCTCCACTCCTCTGAATGGAGTCCTTTATTAGGGCAGCTAAAAATTGTATACCGGCCGTCCGCTATTCGGTATTGGTGGGCGGCGACGATCTTAAATCTATGATCTGTCCCAGTGACCTTGTTTTTGACAATAAACTCTCCACGCCGAGGCTTCCCACGCTTTTCTTCCCGGTCCAATCCTCGCACAAGGGCCGATCCGATGAAATATGCTTCATATGAGTTGGTATTGGTCTTCCGGTTCCAAGTGACAGCATCATGCAAATGCGGATTGTGAGACGGAAGGCTTCCATTCATGACCTGGTCCCATGATCGTCTCCATATTTCGTTTCCGTTCCCAGGTTCAGGGTATAGGAAAAGCATTGGCACCTTGTAATCGTATGCGATTACGTTCACCAAGGCAGTCCAAGCATCCTCTTCCGACTGTGCCTCGTAATATGCGGGTATGATCTGTGGTCTCAGAAGATATGCTAGTCCTGCGATTCTGTCTCTGGGTTTGGTCGACACTCGACCCCGCATGTGGGACAATACGACAAATACATCTGTCTGTTTGAATATGCGCTGTGCGATTTTCTCCAGCCACAACAGCTGCTCGCGAAATTTGGCGGGCAGCATTTCGTACACCGTCGCGTTATCGATGGAAGTCCCGCCGATAATGGGGTGCTTGCTGATCTCCTGCAAGGTCCACGCACGTCGAAACCAACTCCTATTACTCCCCAGGTCATGCTCCTCAGCTGTGAATGGCCGACCCAACCCAGAGAAGTAGTACACAACTCTGTCAGCCATTTCATACACATATCCGATTGTGGGTACATCCACCTTCCACTCGGCAATGCGTACATAGTCCTTTTCGTCATCTCCTTGCCTCAGGCAGAGGACATCTAGCCACACATATTCCGCGCCTAGATTGATCATGTCGGCCCGGACGACATCCAAATCGCTATCTTTCGGGATCGGCACAGGCCACTCGCGTCCGTTGATGGCCGTTAGTACAGGCTCACGATCTTTCTCATCCATCCATGCTTGTGATATTGCCCATGGAGTTTTACGTGCGAGCCACCATGGCACCACTCGATTACTATACAGATCCCAGACTCGGCGAGGTGGCACACGTGGAGTGATGATTATATCCTCCACGAGTACTTCTTCTCGCATCTTTCGGTCCATTGTTTCACGATTGCGTCGTTTGAATTCGTTGGAATAACGTCGCCGGAAATGCGCAAATGCAGTGCCAAAGTCATAACGTTTCGAGATGTATGACTTGGAAAGGTCGGATAAATGCTGGGTGAGATTGTATCGGGTGCAAAGCACCTTGTTGAAACTCTCCAAGAGTCCATCGATTCCGAGATCCACGCAGGGAGTGTCAGCGAGGGAGGATAGTACGATAGGCATCCCATAGGCATACAGCTGCTTCAGTGCTTGAACGGCCTGTCCCTCTTGGCGAGCATTAATGGAATCATAAGGGCGGAGCTCAGGGATCCGCCTATTAATATTTTCATATTTAATCGATTCCTGTCGGATAGGTCTGTCCTGGAATATATTAGTTTCTGCCACCCATTCATGGATTTACTTACTTCATTCAATTCATTTGTGTCTCGCAAGATCCTAGTTGGTTCGATAAGAAGGGAAATAGTAATAACGACGGCGCCATTGTTCCCCCTCCATTAGCTGTCCACAGTCACATCAGAATAAGGGCTTGAAACAATTAGAATAAGATGATAACACATACTTTCGTGTGTGCTGGAGGGAGTTGATATGGTGGTGGTAGTGGCAGTGTATTTCCAACGTGTGGCTGTGGAAGGCGATGACGCCTCAGCAAACTAATAACTGACTCCTTCCGGAAAAAGTCTGTTAGTGTCGTTCCCCTTTATTATATGTTATTAAGCTCATATAATTGCGTCATCCCTAACTCCGAGTCGTGGTAAGAATATAGCACTGCAAATGATGGACAAAGCCTGCACCATTAGAATGCATCGGAATCTGCCACGCAGACGGCAATTCTACAATGGGATTGAGGCTCTAGAACATCACGAGTAAATTCATCATTGAGCATAAGTTCTCCTGGCAGTGTATCTGTGATCAACTCAAGTCAGTCTCTCGGATCTGCTGGTTCCCATAAACAAGAGGCTTCGTGGATTGATGTACCGCGGGATTGCAAGCTGTTACTGGCAGATGAAATGACCCATGGGCCCTCCATGTCCAGCTATACGACTTGCCTACTGAAAGCGACGTACCATGCAGACAAGGCGGGGTAGTTATGGAGAACATGACGAGCAAGTGCCATACCATATAACGCTTAATCTTGCCTCGTAGGTGTAAGGGTTCGACGCGAATACAGCACCGCTAGATTGACTGCTCAACGAGACCGCTTCCATTATTAAAAGATGAGAAAACTTCCTATGCCCTGGTTTCTAACTGGGACACCAGGAACCGAACCCCAATCTACCGTAAACCCAGAGAATACGCCACAACGGCTTAGTGAATGCCGATCAACATGGAATAGGAATAATCATCCAAGGACAAGGGACCGTCAAATTGACCTTTTAGGACAATACCGGCTTATTCAATATGCCTTGGCTATTCAGATGCAACATACCGTGAGTCATCTCATTTGCGATGGGTGGATCTTCTCTGGATGCGGTTTCTCCATAATAAACGAATATTATCAAGCACGTTCGTGGCATGATCATCAGGCGTGTATGCCCCTTCCGCTCGTTTCCTGGAAGATCGACAATCAGCCTTGCCCCGGTCAAGAAAGATAAGCCTGCCAACGAAAATTCTTCCCTCTCACGCTCGTCGCTTTCAACGTAGGCGCCATTCTCCTACAGTAGCACCCCCTCTCGTCTATATCCTCCCACAGCTGATTAGGGCAGGAGACGGAGACGTTGGAGAAGCTAAGCGGAGGGCCGACGGGTATCACGGTCTTTAGTGCATAAGCGTGGTATGATATGGAATTGATAATCCTGCGGTATCATAGGGAATGTAAGGCGCAGACATTGCATACACTGCCTTGGACCGTGGACCGGGAAGTCTGAAAGTCTGAAAGTGGGTCTGTGGAATCTAGATGTTAGCTCCTCGTAGGAAGTAAAGTAAATGTGACTTACCTTGGAAGCGCCCGTCAAGTAGGAGAGGAACCAGCTGAGCGTTTACCAAGGTCTCCGTTGATGTGTCACCTGTAGACCTGTAACCGGTCGTCTTCTATATATGGGAGCAAGCCTTATAAATATATCGTGAGCTTGCTCCCATATATAGAAGACGACCGGTTACAGGTCTATGTCACCTGAACCATCCAGACCTAGACGCCGGCATGATAGGTACCGCTACGCAGGAAAGCGAGACGCGGAAAGATGAATACACTCCTTCCGCACCTATCGTCACCTATTCCTGTGTTATAATTGATTGCTTCATCGTGTCTTCTTCATCGCCCTTGTCGGACCTCTGTCATTGCATTTTATCCCTATCATGATATAGCATGTGGTCGTAATGGCTAGGCTTACCACCTGTGTGTCCCCTGCCCGGAGTGATACATTTTAACTCATCGGCATCCATCACCAGCTATGAGCCCTCTGAATAGTGTCTTGAGGAGAAACAAGGTACTCAGCATCGAACGGGGCCATCATTGGGTGGCTAGGGACAACAGAGCACCGGTCAGAAGCAGAAAACTGAGCGGAGTGTAGTCGACGGCCTGTTGATAGCCACAACGGGTTTGCTCCACGATGTCCAAGATGGGGGTGTTGAGGTACCAGGGGCTATAGACCCGCGGTAGGGGCTGATATGGAACTGGGAGAGCCGGGGTTTGGGGTTGGGGAATTATGAATTCAAAGATAAAGGCGCGCGCAGAAAAGTAGGCGGCAGAGACGGTCCGGCCGTTGGAAGGAGCCGGGTATTGCCGAACGTGCCCTTTTCCGCCATCATCGCCTGCTATAGTTGATCGACAGTCTCCCCACTTCTATCCTTGATCTCTTCTATCGAGGGCCCAGCACGATTCTGCGCTGATGGTCTGCGAATCAACGATCCGAGTTTGGATTAAATTTATCATTTCTTCGGCTGTACGTGGTTGGTTTTTTTTTTGATTGCCGGTCTACAAACTAACTCTCAGACTGCGACACAGTCCTCGTAAAATGTTCGGTCTGCGCGTTCCCCTCTTGTGATGCTTGTTTATGGGTTACAAAGGACGACGAATTACGGCAACTGAAAAATCCTGCTTTCCGACCTGGTTGCGAAAACCGAATTGTAGGGAGTGGTTTTTTGTTAAAGGTATGCTGGGATTTTTGAGTATCTCGCCAACCCATGATATCACCCCTTGTATAAGGGCATGCATGTCCGATCGTAGCATCAGCTCTTAGGTCCTGTACCAACTTCCGCTCTGAACGCTTGTAGTGTATCTGCCATCTATACGTACAGCAGCTCGAATACCAGGTCAGGAGGATGCAAAACATTTTGATAAGGCGAAAGTGTCGCCAGTGGTGAGTATTGCAGTCTTTTTGGTGAGTCTTTTCGTCTTGCTTCGTATGCTATTGTAGCTTACAGCCTTCAAAAGAATAAAATCGCCTATCATGGCCACGCGAGTACATTGTCGTAACGGGTGATTATCAGTTAGCCCTGAAATCCTTTCTACATTGACATTCATGAATTATGATTTGTTTCTTTTCCGTCTTCCAAGGGAGACGACTGTGCTGCTTCCCGGGAAAAGTATGACAGCAGGATGTGTATATGCCCGTCATTCAGGCAGACATGCTGGAGGAGATGGCGCGGTCTGAGCGGACGGATTTGTGAGGCTTACGATCAAGTTTATGGTGTGTCTTGTGCTACGTTCTCTATCGTATCAAACCCATTGGTTCCTTAGAGACACTGAGTGATCAGACTTGTTCTACCTTGTACAAAGATGGATGGACCGGCCGTCTAGCGTACCATTCTATCACTTAAGACCCTGTTGTACGCATCACCTTCAAGCTCATTCTGACCATTTCCCCCCATCCATCGAGCTTTGGTTCCAATCCGAGTGTCCGAATATCGTGTATCCACCAAAGCCACTGCCGAAAACAGGAGTGCCCATTTCACCTGATTGTATGGTCGTCCCACCAGACCGTCGGCCTAACTCTGTCTGCCTTATGACGGTGTGAGGAGTATTGTGCATAGATCGCAGGGTATACACGCCTCATGATGCACGTTCAAAGATAACTAGGGATGCTAGGAACATAGGAGGAACCGTATATGAAGTTTGTCGCGTAGAGCGGTGTATCTGTAATGGCTGGGTTGCACATGCGTATGAATGACAAGTATGGATAGGAAGACGATAATCCCTAATTTTTTCATGGAGGAGGAAAGAAGTACTTGCATCCGCACGTTCCATCGTCACAGTCGAATATTACTAGAAGGAATGCGCATCAGAGGATATAAGTTTTTCATTGATTCAGTCCGCAATTCATCGTGGAGGGAGACGCCGATGCATACCTTTACTGTACAAAAACTTCTGATGTCCTGACTTATAAATTAGATTATGGAGAATAGAACCGCAGTCTACAGTAAACCTAGCAATTATACATTAACGGCTTGGTGAATGCGGATACATATATATATATCGACGTCAAGGCACGGAAATAATCATCCAAGTACAAGGGGCCGTCAAATTTATCTTTTTAGGACAACACTGGGTTATTGCTACCCGCTAGCATGATTTATATTAGTGTTTGAATCGCGGATACTTTTCATAGAACCAATGACAGAGTCGAAGTGGTTCTGCATCACATTTATGGGAAGGTGGCAAGGTAGTATAACGCATTTCAACTGCGACTAAACTTTCATAAATTTATATTCAGATATAGTGTAACGGTCATAGTGCTGTGGGTTCGATCCCCACTCTCTGAATCCTACAGAAGAAAATGATTGTTAATTTCGGCTTTTTTATGCCCTCCTTAGGTCAATATCAAGGACTGTAATCACAGAACACTGAGCTACTCAATATTAAGTTTCGTACATTTTAATTATGAAACGTGCAGATTCAGATGTGGTGTAATGGATAAGATCACTGACGTGGTGGGTTCGATTCCCGCCCTCTGATCTGAGGTGGTCTGGACAAGAAGTTTTACCCCTGACGAGGACCGGTTCATCGTCCCGCTGCTCGCTGGAATTTTTATTGGATACTAGGGGATAATATAGAGCGGGTTGAGTATCCGCATTCGGGAAGTACTGTTCTTCTCTGGATGCGTCTCACAATGATAAGAGACCATTATCAGGAAGTTTGTTTCTCAGTCATCAAGCGTGTACATCTCTTCCGCTTCCTCCCTGAAAGAACGTCAATCAACCTCGGCCCAGTCAAGAAATGACCCCCAACCTTTTTTTTCCTTCTCGCGCTCGTTCGTCACTCTTAATGAAGGCATCATTCTCCAATATCAGCACTCGCACTCACGCTTCTTGAAAGTACTTGTAGAAGACAGGAAATGATACGGTGCTTTGGAGAAGCTAAACAGAGGGCAGATGAGCATCACGGTCTAGGCTAGTGCACGAGGTACATTGGCCTGGTACGATACGATATTGATAATCTTGTAATATGGTAGGGAATGGAAGTTTTGGTAAAGTGAAGAAAAGGTACACGCCACTTTGGCCCATGGATTAGACCGAGATGATACCCTAGAGAGCTTGCGGAAAATAAAATTTCCCTAGTTAGCAAGTAGAGTAAACATGGCTTACCTCGGAAGTGCGTGTCTGGTGTGAGACGAATTTAACGCTCTCAGAGTCATTGGCCAGGTCATAGTCCAGAGAAGGGAACTGAAGACTCGACCTGATCCCGATCCCTGTTCCAGCTACTTGCGTCTTCATCAATTTTACGTCTTGCCACCATTCGCCAGATAGGGAAAAAAGCTAGCAAAGGGATGGTCCTGCTGGACAAGGGGTATTGTGGGGAAGTGCCAGAGTGGCCAAGAAAAGCCAAGCTGGGGTGCAAATTCTCCGCTATCGTGAACTTCGCAAGTTAGAGAACACGTCGATATCCAGCAGCACAAAACGAAAACAGTAAAAACGGCAGAGGACGGAAAGGGACGTCGGACGGAGCCGGATATTGCCGAAGATGCTCTCACTTCCGCCATCATCATCACGTACGCTCGCTATCGACTCGTCTCTTGCTCAAAGTCTCAGTCGGATCTCTGACAGCCTTTTATCGATTATCAACACCCCTGATCTCTTCGCTGCAAGATTCTCCGCCAATGGCCTGCGAAACATGGACTTGGATCGTTCTTTGGGGGGAGTGCGCGTGGCTGATTTTTTGATTACCAGTCTATTGGCGTGCTCCATTCCTGTGAAACTCGTTTATGGGATCGAAGGACAACGAATTACTGTGATGGCTGCAAGGTGAGTCAACTGGAAGCTTTGAGCGTCACTGGCACCAATGGACATAGGCGATTTTCAGCAAGTGTCACGAACGCTGTGGGTTATGGTATCATTTCAGTATTCGGTAAACCCCTGGTTGTCATTGACTTGTCCTCTCGCTATTACCATTGGTCGGTGTCGGCACCTTCACTTCATCCTTCCAATTAGATCTTGTTGCATCATCGCCCATGCATTGTGTTGTGATTTGATTGTTAAAACGTCCGGCCAGATGGTTTTGTGTAGTACTTTGGCCGCTCAGCATCAGTGATATGTTCAACAATAAGGATCTGCTTACAGTTAGGAGCGTTGATATACATATGCTGTTGAAAAATTTCGCACCTGATGGGTTTCCTCTCTTCCACTGCGAGAAAAAGCGGTGCGAGATGATTAAGTTTTCTATAAATTCCCACGGAAACGCGTAACGGGCCCGTGCGCACCCGGTGTCCGGGGTATTTCTGCCGTGGTTTGAGAGTCCGACCTGGGCAAGCTTCCTTCCCTTCCTTTCACTGCGCTCCCACTTCACTGGTCGATCTGGCTTGGTCAACTGTCCAACTCTCGTTCCTATGGACGCTTCCAATTAAACCTCTGACGCAGACTCAGACTCGACGTTTTGCCTCGGAGTCGGCGACTGGTAGAGAGATGAACTGAGTTTTTCGCATTTGGACGACTGGGGTGAGTTTGAGAACCTGTGTTCTTGCTTATCGTTTATTGACATGTCTCTTTTTCTCTAGTAAATTCTCACCATCGCATCATTTCCCACAGCCTTATGTGACTGAGTTCGCACTTCGCGTCGAAGATGGATAACTCGGGGTGGGAACGGCATGGATTCTCCAAGCAGCGTTCTCGGTGGTAGGCCTTGTTCTTTCCGGAAGTATTCTCCTTCTCAGAATTATGCTCTTCTACAGCAGGACTTATTCCTTCAATTCTATGAACAAAATGCGCTGGGCCAAATTATGTCACCGATCCTCGACGATGTTCCTCTATGCCGTCTTTTGTGATCTGGGCGCATCAGTCCGATAACCATTCTTCAACAAGGATTCAGAAGTAAGTATCCTATTATTCAGGTCAGTTCACCCTTACCTTCGTACGACTGACGCCTCACTTTCAGGATGAAAGATACTGCGATGGTGGGCTATGCAGGATTCGTCGAGGGCGATGCCAGTTTCGCTTTATGTACCTACCTGTACGTTGCTATGCTTTCGTTTGATGACATGTCTTTCCTGATCTATCGTGTAACGGTTCAGGTTGCAGTACTGTATCGCAATCTACAACTATATATCTTGTTTTCGACTGGTCTGCATGCGCTGGACTTGATCATAACCAACAAACCAAGGCCACTTCGGGAACACATATATTCCGAAACCCCCTCCTTAACTTCGTTACTCACCTGTACGAACTCTGGTGCTGGAGATGGCTACTTTCTGAGGCCGCCTCGAACGCTTGCATAACCACTTTAGCAACTGGAGACGAAGAGAAGAGGCCAGTTGAATCCTTCAAACTCGGAGGAATCTTTCAGGCGTCGCTCTGGGTGAGTCTCAGTACATGTTCTTGCTCATTGTTTGTTGACGCATCTTCTCTATTCTAGCACATCCTTGCGTGCGTTCGTCATTTCCCGAGTCTCTGTACGATCAAGGGTCGCTGTTCGCATTGGAGGCTTCGTCCAGGGAACGGTTATTAAATAGTTCAGTACGATGCTCTCCTGTATGCGTTTGTTTTTTACGTTGTCAGGCGACGATCTATGGGTGTTGCTTCTGGTTACCTTGACACGTGAGGGTCCATATTTCCAATGTATCTTATTACTCGGGTCGGTTCTCCCTTATATTGATATGATCTGACGTCTGACTTCTAGATGAAGGATAATAACCTAGTGGCCGGAATCGTCGAGGAAGATACCAACTTCGCTTTGTGTATATACCTGTACATCAACGTCCTTTCACTTACTGACGTGCCTGTCCTGACCCGTTGGGCAAGGTTTAGGTTGTATCACCATATATTTCAATTAAAAGCTATCGCGCTTTCAGGCCTTCTGTGTTCCCTGTACCTTATCGTACCGCGAATTGGGCAGCCCTGTGCGGAAAGGCCTATAATCCAACGCCGCCGTGAGGTGCTCTTTATTTCTTTAAACAGCCACATGAACTCCAGTGGTAGGTAGGAGCGCTCGCTTTGTATACCAGGCATGGCATTACTGTTCGTCTCTTTCCAGGCTTCGCGTAATCCTTTCTGTCTTTTTCCAGATCTAACCTTTCTCAGTGCAGTCCAACTTGCGTCGGGCTGTTTGAATCTCACCGCACCTATGGCATATAGTGCTACACATCCGCAGTGAACATGGAATCCGTGCGTCGAAATGCCATCGATGACCTTGAATCGCACATACCGATGACGAGCAGGGAAAAGATAAAACTTAACCCTTGAGACTGCGAGCCATAATGTTGGCAATTTTTATGCCCTGCGACGATGGACCGCTCAGTTTTCGTACATCTCTTGAATGAGATTTGATTATGGAACATGTAGATTCAGATATGGTGTAATGGATAAGATCATTCATGTTGTGGGTTCAATTCCCGCGCTCTGAAATCTGGCTGGCCTGCAATAACTACAGCATTTTTATGTCGTTCCGCTACTCACCTGGAAATTTTCTTGTATATTACAGGATGATATAGAGCGCAAGAAAGCATGAACATGTTGGGGTTTCGAGCGGGTGCTCGGGAAGGGAGGGTTGGGTAATCTTCATTAGCGACGTACAGATATTCTCTGGGTACGCACGAGTGCACCAGCCTTCTCCCCTCTCATGATCATCACCCTTGACAATCAGCATCATTCTCCTACAGTAGCACCCCCGCTCCTCCGATTACTTGTAGAACGTCCACAGTCAATTAGGGAAGGAGCTGGAAACAACACGATGTGTGCATAACGATATTTCGTGTATGAGATGAATCAGCATGGTACGATATCATCATCGTCGATATGGTATTGATAATGCTGTGGTATTGTAAGAATGGAAGTCTCAACAGAAAATGCATATGAAAAGCCAAAAAATGTCTCCATAATGCGTTTCAGGCATGTGGAATAATATATGGTTTCCTTGTTGCTAACAATATTTGAACACGATCGAATCAACAAAGAATCGTTTCAACCTCTAACCCAATAAATTTGAGTTTCCGAAGTCTTTCATTTTCTACTTCATCCGCTGTACTGAACACTGATAATTTCTCAAACTTCCCATCCTGTCTTGTCCGCCCCACTACCCAACGTGCAACGAATTTTAAATTTTCTTCCGGCGCTTCATCCCCTTGGTTGCTGCCTAATAGTGTATAGGAGTCATTGGGTATCGGGTAAGCGTGGTAGGCGATTATTTTGAATGTTTGGGACTGCCCACTGTCAACTCTCCTTGCCGAGGCTTCCCATTAGCATATAATCCGCCAGCTAATCCAGGAACAATACCTGAGTTGATGCGGAGTCCCTTATGGTAGTCGATGTTCGTCTTTTCTTTCTGAGAAATGAACCCCATAAATTCCCCGGCATAATGTGATGGAAGCGTCTTTGTCATTATCTGCTCCCATGTTGGTCGCCAATGTTTCTTTCCAGTTCCAGGCTCGGGGTACAAGAGGAACAGTTCTCCACAACGATAAACATCCAGGACATTTACGAGCGCTACCCAGGCATCCTCTTCGGACTGGGTTGCATCGTGTTTTGGGATACCATCTGAGTAGAGAAGGAATACCAACCCAGCGACTCTATCTACCGGATTCGTTGATATGCGCTTCTGCATATGCGGCAGAATGGTGAATAGAGACTCTCCAAAGTCGCCAAGCCTCATCTGTCGCAACGATCCCAATTTTTCTTTGAACTTGAAAAGTCCTTCTTCGTCCATCATGCCATCGTCTCCTGTTTCCCCACCAATTTTCGGCTCATCTTTGGGTATCTCCTGCAATGTCCAAGCTCGATTAAACCAACATCGATCACTCTCAAAGTCACCGTCTTTGAAACTCAGTGGCCGACCTAGCCCGCTGAAATAGCAGACCACAGGCGCCTCTCGATATACTGCTCCGATGGTAGGCACATCTGTCTTCCACTCCTCTACGCGTAGATGCTCCCCCAGGCCACCCAGCTGTCTCAAACAGAGAACATCCAGCCACGCATACTCTGCTCCCAGGTTCAACATCTCGATTCGTATGAGATTAAGGCCAGCGTCTTTTGGTATAGGTACAGGCCATTGGATGGTGTTCGATTTATCGTACCAAAATGGGCGGAGATATGCGCATGCAGTGCCAAAGTCGTAACATTTCGAGACGCATGACTTGAAGAGGCGAGATAAAGATGAGGTGAGAGGATATGAGGTGCTGAGTATCCGGTTAAGATTCTCTAAGAGTCCATGAATTCCAAGGTCCGCGCATGGAGTGTCAGCAAGGGGACTTAGTATGATAGGCTTCCCAGCCGTATAGAGCTGCTGCAGCACTGGAATGGGCCATCCCCACTCGCCGGCCTTAATAACGTCGTTGGCGTAGAGCACGGGGATACACCTATCGACAAGTTTGTACATATGATGTTGCTGTTTCGTCTGAAATATATCATTTATTGCCCTTCTGTTCCCTTTTTTTGCTTACCTTTCTATGCACCTGAAGTGGAGTAGTATTGTTTTCTTTATCTTCTGGATAGGATCCAGCCTTTTTGTCCACACGTGAGACTTGATAATGATCGAACCATTTTGCTCCATCCATTGACTGTTCAGTGGTCGTGCTGGCAAAGTGAGGACTTGCAAGAGTAACATAAAGACACTTACTTTGTTGGGTGCTCAAGGAAACCTGACGCGGTGCTGTTGTCCGTCTGTGATTGCGTGAATGCCACGATAATCCGGCACACAGAAACGGCAATTCTACAACAGGGTTGAAAGATAGCCGCCGGCACTAGTCTCGCGCCAATAGTAAGCCTGTTCCCCTCTTATATACCGCCAGTTGTTTTGTCAACCAGTTACAAACTTCGCATTCTTCAGTGCAAATAGGTCAAACACTCCTAGAAATTCGCCACGACAGGCCTGGAGAATCGGTGATCGCTGCACAGCCTCATGATACTCCTTTTTCAACTACCACCTGTCTCCAACGCGAGCGTTCCTCCACGATATGATTTCCTGGGAACCCTTCGTAGGGAACACGTACAGCGCGATATATGGATACCATGCAACTTTAGCGAATTAAGATGAGAATTCCAGCTACCAGGAATTTGTGAAGTCGCTAATTTGGGACATTATGAAGGCCTCCGTATTCTATTTTTGTTAACGTGTAACTGAGCAATGAACTGTTTCATCACTGTATACCTTCAAGAATACATACAGGAAGAAGTTGAAAGCATTAAATGGGACCAAGGGAAGTTTTCACTCTCAAAACATGCCAATTTACCGAGAAAGCTAAAGCTGAGGTTCTTAGGAATAAACCATCTTTTTTCTCCGCACTTATGGGACAACCGTTTTTGCAGCGTGACCTACCTCGCTGTCATAGAAGCACCGTCGCATTCGTAGGTGAGAAATGCGCATCTCAGAGGCAAGGCTTGCTTTTTCTTTCCTTTTTGACAAAATACGACGGCTCATTCGGATAAAGGGAGAACTCATCCTTCCAGTTACTCATTTTCCTCAGATATCTCGCCTTCTGCTCGTCCTGCATTTATCATAGGCCAGTGGAACCGTGGGACCCATGATATCGATGTAAACCTTGTATTGCGGTTTTCGGCCCGATACTTCAGCTGCGCTTGATACCGAACCTCCATCATCGATATACCAACACGCAACGTGTAGTCTCTCGCCTCCGCCTGCATGTAAGTAGGCTCTGATACGAAAGATATATACATACTCAATACTCATCCAGAACCCCTCCACATTATGGACCCATCGTCTCGCCTTCCATTAGAGCTCCTTCAGAAAATCTTTCGGCACTACCTATCTGATCGCAAGATCCCTGTTCAATCCTTTGATCCTTCGGATGGTGTTTGGATTATCGGGCAGGTTAATAGCACTTGGAGGTGTGCAACCCTCTCGGATGCATCTCTCTGGTCGACTATCAATGCTGCATTCACATACCCTTCTGACTCTACTATCAATTCATCCCATAGCGATCTAAACAACATAATCCTCAGCAATGGTATCATTGAATGCCTTGCCTGTGTTCTGTCTCGCTCCAGAGACATTCCACTTTCCCTGTCTCTCCATTTCCCCATTCGGAGCCCGGAAAATGCGGTGCCCTTGATATCGAGAACATTCTTCTCACTTCTTATGGAAGCATCCAACCGATTCCAATCCTTAGACCTCGTGGCGCCCACTCCAATCTGGGAAGACTTTGCTAGAATCCCGCCCGACCGTTTGCCACAGCTCCAGAAGCTGCACGCCACCCTTGAGAGCAGCATTGTGATCTCCAAGTCATCTGTTGCTGCCCGATTCTCATTGATCTTTCTATCAGATTAGATCATCGCACGATTCAGACCCATGATGATACTCACGTCATTGAAAATTCTGTTCAGATGCCGCAGCTGCGTCGTCTGGCGGTACACGTTCCCTCCTTCCTCGATCACATGACTGCACGAAACCTGAAGTCCTTGACAGTGAAGGGCAAATCTATCATGGGACCCCTTGCTGACTTCCTCGATCGGTCTAAATGTGCCTTGACAGATTTTGACGTATCTTGGCATGGCACGGTCGATGAACTCTTCATCATCCTCTCTAGTATGCCAACCCTCGAGTCGCTAACATGCCGCCGCCGCGACCTTAATATGTCATTTTATGAGAGGATGAAGTTACCATCCACGATATTACCCAGGCTACGCTCATTTTCCCTCCGGATCAATGATTCCTCGACCCGTCTGCTAAATTTGCTTTACATGCACCACAGAGTCACCGTAGATGCCGTTCCCATTATTGACATGGTCGAGTCTAGGTTGGCAGGTGGTGTGTTGGAGAACGTCGACATCAGCTATATGATGGTGAACGTTCTAAGTGAAGATTCGCAGAGGAGACTGTCAAACCTTAATGCGCTACCCCACATCAACGTTGAGATCGAGCCATTCTCCGTTGGTCTCTTACAGTCACGTATTAATCGGCGATTGCACAGTTGAGGGGTTGAATTTTCGGTGGGAGCCTATGTAGGGCTTGCTCATGTTGCTAAATTCGTTTCAGACAGGAGGTTTCTTGCCGCGATGTGTCTCTCTATCCGTATTATTTCTCGTAGAGCATATGAATGAACTCAAATAATTGTAGAATCGCCTTTGGAAGAGGTTCAATGTTAGGTCTGCTATGTTAAGAAGATACAGTATTCATACCATTTGGAACTCTCAAGGGAATTCAGGAAGGTTAACTGTCACACCAGATTTCATTGCAGGCGAGTGTTCACAATGAAGGAGATTCACTGGGGTATGTGCCTACAGCCTAAAGCGGGACCTACCACAGGTATAACCTCCCTTCTCTCATACCCTAAATGCGACGAGCATGGAGGTAAAAATATAGTGCATCTGGGATACGTAAAAGCTAAAAGAGCTAACTATGCCCTATCGGAAGATGCCGGTGACGGCGTTCCGGTCTCCGTCCCAAACTCACTTCGCATCAAACCATCATCACGACGCGTAATACTCTCCATTTTCGCCTACCGGTTGATCGTACGTTTTCCTGACTATGGTAATAAATCTTCCTTATTGATTTCATATCAATAGTCGTGCGATGGACCCATTGTCCTACCTTCCCTGGGAGCTCATGTTCCTATCCAATTCGTGAAGTTCTCCGGGCTCCGATAGCTTCTTAGTCATCGGTCCAGTGAAAAATACCTGGAGATTATACATTCTTTTCGGCAAATCCCTATTGTTGACGATTAACATACTCGTGGAATTTCTAAAAACGGCGTCTTTCATCATGCATACCGTTCTGGTCTAGCCTCTCATCGGAGTCTCTTTGGCGTGCATTAGATCTGGGAGCACCCCTTTCAATATGGGAAGATTTCGCAAACACCCATCTGGATCATCTTGCGCTTCTCCAGAAGGTCGAGGATACCCTTCACCATTGGTTTCCAATGGTCAGGCGCTGTCAGAACGTTGCTAACTCGCCCTTTCTCCACGCCATCACTTGGCCGAACCTCACGTCACTAACAACGAGGAGCATATTATCCATGTCATCCTCTTCCCGTAGTGTTCCATCTCTTCCTTCATTCGCCGATCAGGATGTTCCTTCACAAATCTCGGACTGCATTGGACGACACCCCCGACCAAGTCTTCGGCACGCTCGATCGCTATTGTTCTTCCACAACAGCTTCAAATTTACCTTTGATATGAGGATGATATCGTTGCCGTAGATATTAAGCTCCACGCATTCTACTTTCAGGGCGACTTAGTTGTTAAGTCTCAGCTCGGGCGATGATCTTCGGATCTCGTGGTATGGTCCACCTATGATCGCCTCGACAGGGTTTTGGACGTCCCGTCCCACCTTTCACACGTTCAGCGGAGATACGTCAACAAGGGTAGAAGGCGCATAGAAGCTCATGGGATTACTAGTTGCCCGACGGATCAATATTCAATGATCGTACACGGAACAAAAAGATTAACGAAGCTCATGGGATAGAAGTGGGTCTGCGATGGTATTTCTTGGGGCACGAACCGTCGTTGTCATCATAATGGTGGTAAATTCTATCTTTGTGCTTCTGGTTATTAAGCGTTCCGCTTTTCAATCGTGTTACAGCTACATCAACGAGGGGATCATTAAATCTAACGCAGTTTGTTCCTGACAAGCAAGCGGCAAGAGATAACGTAAGAGTCTTCTACCAGTTATCCCTGCTGTTACTCTGACTGCGACCGCAGATAGCAAGATGTCTTTTAACTATCTGCCGCAAAAATCTTGCGATAACCGAGCTGAAACTCGTTCTTCTCTCGCAATCTAGCAGAAGTCCTTCGCTGATTTCAAATCTTCTCGTTGAAATTTTGTTGAAATGCCCCATCGCCTCGTACAGCCGATTCTTGTCCTCCTCGGAACACATCCTCACATGAAGCTACACAGCACTTTGAGTGGCGTCTCCCATTGTTCCTAAGAACGGCGAATTTCGTAACTCAGTGCCGATGTAGAACGTCTCCTCCTTGCCCTCTGACTATAAAGCCACTGCTATTCACCCATCCAACGCACTTCACTGACTAATCGCCTACCAGTTACCGACTCTAAATATAGACCATGTTGGTCATAGTCTCGAACAACTCTATTATGAGTTCCCAGAATCCCTCCCTACCGTCTCTGTCAAATTCAAACGCTCGCCTGCTCATAGCCGACGGGAGGAGTATCACGACGAAAGGATCATCGATTTCCCCAGTTATTCCCTTCATTCCGTCCTATGATCGCAACGCTGTCGCCTTCAGGGCTGCGAGAGAAGCTACTCGCATCTTGAGAGAACAAGGATACACTTTCGCGATATTCGGGAGCTTAGCTTGTTATCTTTACGGAAACAACCGCATACCAAACGTAAGACTATCTCTCCTCCTCTCACCCTACTGTCAGTACTGATTCAACACGAATAGGATGTGGATATTGTCATATCATCCTACGCCTGCGATCCGGAGGCCATCAAGACGCTTCTCGTCGCAGCGAACCCTGAACTCTTCTATCTCGTTCCTTCCAAATCTCCACAATCGTCGTGGAACGTGCTTTGGTACTGCGACAGACGCGACAAGAACAAGGAGAAAACTAAAGTCGATATCCTCAGAGCCGGAACACACCAGCTACCTATTCTTTTCTCAGAGGCCATTGTCGACAAGCAGGGATTACCCGTTGTTCCTATATCCATGCTTCTGTTGCATAAATTGAAGGGGTGGAGGGATAGGATGGACTCTCCGGAGGAGCGCCACCGGAGGAAGTATCATTCTGATGCGAGAGATGTGCTCTCCTTGTTGGTAATTATCGTCCAAGGCATGAATAAGCAGGAGAGAAAGGATGCAACGTGGTGGAGGAATTTTTCGCTGGAACGGTTTGATGATGTTTTTCGCTACGAGACGGACCAGCGGGTTACTGATTTTTTCTACCGATTTCCAGAATCTGGTGAAATGTGGCGAATTCTAGGGTGGTGAGCCAGGTAGAACGTGGAATATGTAGTAGACGAAAGCTAGAGTAATGTAGATCATTACAGAGATAATAGTGTACACGAGCTTAATAAGTAATTTGAATGAACGTAGTAACACTCTTGACAGAACCATCATAGCGAAATCAGAAATATTCGACCGTCCGAAACCATCAACTCCGTACTTATATTGTTTTGAGAATTCCCCTCATCGGCGCCTAACACCGGGGCGATGAACCCATTTCCACGAGAATCTTCATACCGGTTCTCATTTGTTTGAATTCATCTATATCTCGTAAGTGCTGCAAGACATGAGAACCAATTCATATAGTACGAAGCACATGCATTGGCCGGAAAGATGGCGTGTTGATAAATGCCTAGCGCAAAGGATGCTGCGTCCTGTACACGTAAGAGAACATCCGTGTGCACTAGACGAGGACAGGTGGACGCCGTGGACAGAATTTCACGCCCTCGGTTACAAACGCAAATGATCAATCATGATTCACCCGAAGTAAAAGAAAAGATCCTACGTAAAGATATGAATGCATATATATCCAATATTCAAGACACCGTTTGCCTCTCTCCGGCATACCACAGCTGAATCAGCTTTTACAATCGGCTCTGCACGCCTGAGGCCACACCGTTACGCTTCTTCCATTCCTGCAGGGCGAGCGAGCGTAGACTGCCTTTGATGATCTTGCCGGACGGCGTCAGTTCTATAAATCACAATACCATAAGGTTAGTTCAGACAGTAGTGTATTGACAGGGTTCTGGCACGTACCGAACGGTGTTTCCAGGACTAGAACCATAACAGGGATGGCGAATCTAGGGAGACTAGAATGATGGCAAGTAAGCACACAATGAATTAAAAATAAAAGGGTGAAACGAACTTCTTGCGCGCAAGTGCCAACACAGACTCCTCCGTTACCTTTCCCTTGAAAGCAGGTTTGACCGAAACAACGGCCGTGACAAGTTCGCCTAAACGAGGGTCTGGAAGCCCCACAGCAGCTACTTCAGCCAATCGTGGGTCATTGTATAGGCCATTTTCGATGGAGATTGAGGACTACCATACGAGCGGGAATTAGTCCATGATGGAAAAGCCAATAAGATGGGACATACGATGCTTTCGCCGCCACGGATGATAATATCCTTGACTAGTGCCTGACTTAAGTCAAAGGGAAATGAATTTCGCAACGTGGCTTACTTCGATCTTTGATGTACAAGAATCCATCTTGGTCCTGCATTCCCAAATCTCCCGACTTGAGCCATCCGTCGGTTGTGAGTACACTGTTCGTTGCCACTAGGTAAAGAGGGTAGATTCATGCAAGCATTCAGAGAAAGGGAACCAACCTGGATCACGCCAATATCCTTTCATAACATTGGGTCCGCGTCTAGGATCAGTGTTAAGAATAAGAAGGTGATTTAGTAATAACAAACATACAGCCAAACTTCTCCGGTCTGTCCTCTCGGAAGCCGAATTCCATCCAAGACGATAGCGACTTCATTTACAGGAGAAGGAAGCCCTCTAGGGGAGTTGCATAAATATCGAAAAGGAAAGAATATGAATTGTACGTACGTGCTTCCTGGACGGGTCATGTAGTCTTCTCCCGCGATCTACAAAAGCTGTCAGAATGTGTTTATTTCTGCACACGAAACCCAACTCACTGCGACGGATATGGAATTGGTCTCGGTCAATCCGTATCCTTGACTCCTAGAAAGCGATCAGAATCATCGCCCAGGGCTGCATTTCAACAACGTACAATTCTGCAGTCGGAAAGACCTCTCTCGCTCGAGAGGAGAGAACTTCAGGAGCTGGAGATCCACCAAAGAACAGGCCATCGAGGGAGTACCCGACGAGAGAACTATCCATGAGATCGGAGACCATGGCTGGGACGCTGAGCACCAAGAATCAGATATTGACGATGGAAAAGCCAATAGTCCGTACCCGCCGGCAACGCCGACATTTTCTTCCCTGATCAATCTGTGAAATATGTCTAAGTGGCAGGAATCTGATGAGCTTGACATGGGAACCGTACCGAGCCCCTGAAACCGCAAATGTGAGAAAGGAAGCATGTGTATGGTTTCTACTGACCTTCTTCAGGAATCCATTTAGTCATGAGAATAATCTTCATTCCAGACATGGTGGCCAACATCTGCAATACACTAAGACGGATAAGCAACTTAGCATCGACGGGACGACGTACAGTATAGCTAGTCGTCCCGGTAACGTGAAAGAGGGGAACGGCAATGAGGGCACCCTTTTGGGGCCCTTTAGCAGGAGCTGCAGGGTCCGGAAGATTTCCTCCCCGTCTCAGCAGTGCACGTCTTCCGCCAACGATAGTCTACATTGTGAAAAGGTTGAGAGTTAAGCCGTTAAACCAGATATAATGGCGTACGTTAAGTGTGTTTGTGAGAAACTGGCGTTGGGTACTTAAAACACCCTTTGGTAACCCGGTCGTGCCTACGAAGTAGATGGCCAGTGAGTAGATATACCAATGAGGAAGATGAAGGACCTACCAGATGTGAACATGATAGCAGCGTTGTCCTCCGGGCTTATCTCAGGGTAGTTTGTGAAAATGTCCTTGTAGGGACCTAGATATCCGTCGACAGCGTCGTGGTAATTTTCCATCCCTGGAGGAATGACCTTCGGATGCAACACAAGGACGGCGGCGATTCCAGCCTCGGCGCATGTCTTGTCGATCGCAGGCGCAAGAACGTCCGCACGTTCAGCGTCAACTACAAGCAGTCGGGGCTGAGTATGTACAAGACAAAACGTGAGAGGCTCGAGGGGAAGCCATCTGCATAGAAGGTGATCAGTTGTCACCTAGAGAAGGGTGAAAAACAAGATGGCTTACGCATTGACAAGAACTGGAACGGCGCCGAGGAGGTCTATCCAGGGAGAGTGAACTCAGAAGGTCAAGTGCCAGTAAACACCGCTTACGAATGGCCCAGAAAATCACCAAATATTCGGATACATTTCTGGAGCATACAGCGACTCTGTCGCCTAATGGGAAGCGCCGTAGTGAGCAACTGGATCGACAGAAAAGAGACGGCATGGTTACCTTTCCTGACGCCATACACTGTATAAAAAATGCCCGCCGTGCGCACCGAGCGATCAAAAACCTGGCGGTAAGTGTACCGTTCACCTTCAAACACGATGTAATCCTTGTCGCCATTTTTCTCCACTGCCGACATCCAAAAGGCGCGGAGCGTCGGGGCCAAGTTCTTGTATACCTTGAGGAGTTTGCCGTCGATCAGGCGGGTTTCTACTTCGTGAGGACATCCGGGACCACATAGTATGTCCTCGGCTGCGAGGATTTTGGGAGAAGACACGATGAGATCCAGGTAACAATATGAAAAGAGCTCACTTACTCTCAGCAAGAGAACGTTTCGGTGTCCAAGACATGGCTATAGTAAAGATAACTGTACAGATAGGAAAGAATGGGGAGTAAGGTCGCTGTGTTGTGGTATAAGAGCCAGCCCCAGCAAAGGGTAAAAGACGGAGGACTCATTCATTGGTTAACAGGGGCATGCAGCATGTCCGAGGCCTATGACAGTCTCCGCGGTTTTCGTTATGTTCCGTGTGACTTGGGTGATTGCCCGTTAGATGTATGAAATTATTCTGGGCGTTAACGGCACAAATGAAACCGAGCCCGAGAGTCGTGATCTATTTAAAGTAAACTCTCTTTCCCTTTCAAGCACCTATCACGGATACTTAGGCAGAATAAAAACAGTGTACAACATCGCGGGAGGTTAAAGGAAAGCTTCTATCCCTGGTAGAGGTCATGGTATACCGGTACCGACTCGAGGAGTAAATGTGTAAACGGATTATTAATGATCCAACCCGTCGCCAAGTTCCAATTTGGTTTTCTGCCGAGTTCGATGAGTCTTGACAAATCTAGTCTTTGTGTACGACTCGCAGAGAAGAGATTAAATAAGCGAGGATTCCTTCGAAGAAGCGTTTCCTTGGACTTGGTAGCCCTCGCAAAGGGAATGAAAGCTGGTATAGCTAGAGAGACTACGCCTATGAGAGTCTCGAGCCTGGCGCGACGGCGTCAAAAGCCGTGCCTGCAGCCTCGAGGCCCTGATGAAACATGAATGCAGGCTTGATTATCTCCGCGGACGAAAGACCTATCTCCGTGAAACAGGAAAAATGGAACAGAATTCAGATGTCAACAATCCGTTTTAGATACTTGAAGCGCGCAGCCCGAAGAAAGCCGTTCCAAGAGAAATAAAGGTCGGAAGTAGCAGTGTAACAGTGTATGAGACTGGTACCGAAAATAGGACATCGTGTCCGTCGCAACTTGAAGAATATTAATGCCATGTAGTGCTCCGTTCGGCGTTCAACTGGTGCTACGCGTAACGCGAATCACGATTACAAAGGGATTTGCCGCGTCGCGTGCCATGTCGCAATGTGCCGAAAAAATGATTCCCACTTTGTTCGAATCGGAGTCTATCGACCCTAAAGAGACCATATCTGTATAATTGCATTCGGCACTATAAAAATACTCCCTCAAAGCAAAGGGCAGTGTATCGAAACGCTTTGATTTAGGAGAGGATAGCAGACTTGGGGCGCGTCGCGACAACCCTTTCCAGCTTGATAGAGCATCGTATTTTCTTCTGTACAGAAATGAGCGGACAACCCGCATATCTGAAGCGGTGGACCATCCGACGAGGGCGAACATACTCCATAACCAACTCCCGTCGGAGCTAAGTTCACGGTAGAAATATGGCGCGGATCCGAGTTACGGTCAGACTAAGAAAATGGAAATTCCGTGATCAATCCGTGATCGGATTTGAACCCTAACCTTACCAAGTAGGGAATGAATGAACAGATAGACCAGTGCAGCTCTTGCCAGAATAAGCGCATTCCTTCATGAATTATAATTTGTTAGAACAAAAAGATTCTTCCCGCTTCAATATCAACATCCCGCTGGAACAGTAGTATCATCAACGTGATTAGCCGCATTGACGCCTAGCCCACGACTAGCAAACGCCCTCCACAAAGTGCAGATATGGGCACCGGCATACCGGTTCGTATCAGCCTGGATCCACGCGTCTCGGCCCGTCAAGACTAACCAGAACTTCGTCAGCTAGAATCCTCACAAACAAACAGATACAAAGGCTTACATGTAGGATTACAAGGCTGTAGCGACAACGCATCGATGAATAAATGCAAATGGACCACGTTCCCAGCGGTACCGGTGGGATCAGTCTTTGCAGTAGCTGACCATCCGAGTTCAGAAACGAGCGCCGCGTAGACGTTGTGCAATATGTTCGCCCAGACTTCGCCGATGTTGTGGACCTCATTGAGGGTAGCGACAGAGGAGTAGCGGAGAGGGTTAACAGTCCTGTCATCAGACAACGTTAGTTATATAGACCACGTGCAGTAGAGGAAGCGGACGCACGCGCTCGTAGAGTACGGATGAGACCGAATACCAGCAGGATCATCGATAACGTATTGGCCCAAAATAAAGTCGGGTACAGAAGAAGATGTCTTCTCAACCCAGCTACGGGCGGGATGTTATTCGGTGCAAGGCGGACAGAAATGATACTCCTACTCTGCCATGGCATCAGACCAACCTGCAGGGAGAGGATCAGGGTTCAGAGTTCCGTATCAGGAATACTGATATTACCAACCTTCGCCCATACCGCCCGCTTCAAGAGTCTGCAAGCATCGCCCAGTCCCTCCGCCAGTCAGACGATTCGTGAGGCCATGAGTGTTTTCATGCGTGACAATGTCATTTTCCAGGGCACCATCGCGATCAGGCTGGGAAGAGAATACAAATCCAATTAAATACAGCCAGCCATCAAAGAAACGAACTCACATTGGTAAAGTCCCACAGGAACATCCCTTAACCAGCTTCAGGACGACCAATCTAAGAAACAAAGCAAATAAAACATACTCATACGACCGGATTGTCCACTATTGAACGCGAAGGTCAGTATCAAGATTACCTGCTTCCAGAGGAATGACGTACTCGGCAGGTGTAGCGAAATCAGCATTATCAATACCATTCGCATCTTGGACGGAAATCGTCACACGATCGTTTCCGGAGCCGCCCAATCCAAAGTTGTTCGTCTGGAAATTAAACGAGGACTGATGAATGGAGATTGGGTCATTCGAATCTGACGAAGATATGAATTCGGACGAACCTCGGTAAAACCGTACCTATGGAAACAATTAATAAGTAAAGAACCTATAAAAAGGATAGATGCGTACCTATAGTGGAGATCGTGGACACTGTTCACTATGTAGAACGCGTTAGTCCGCGCAGCATCGAGGTTCGCAGCAACGGTTGGCGCCAAGCTATCGTTGTCCGTGTAGATGAAGTTCAGGCCGGCCGAGGATTGCTGCGTGGTCGCCGTTTGAGTGCCCTTGAAGGCGATAGCGTTATTCCCTCTGCATTTCTTGATCAGATACTGCATCATATAACGAAAATTTACACTTACGAGGTATCACTGAAACGAGTCAGAAGGAAGAAGGATCAGTTATTTGAAGACTTCGGTAACATACGTAGTAGTGGTCGTTCCAGTAGAATGCCAGCCCAAGGGAGACGCTGCGAGATCTTGAGGATCCGTAACTGTGGCAAAACCTTGACTCGGAAGCTCGAGATTGAACGGAAGAATATGATACTGTATAGATGTTTTAAGAGGACAGTTCATGTGAACATCAAACAATCGTGGCATACCGAGGCTTTGGCTACGAAATCCGTTACTGAGACGACATCGCCAGTATGGGCATCGACAAATGCCTCGAACCACGCCCCAGTTTGTTCGTTCTCGATTTGGATGACATGCGTGAGGACGACGCTGTTGTCATCCTTCACTAGGTATTCGAGAGTGGGTGGGAACTGGTTGAAGGTTCCTGAGAGCGTCGACTCGGCGGAGGCTATGGCGTCTTCTAATGAAACAGAAGGTGTCGACGGAGCGATGTTTGCTGTATGTACCTGTCAGTCTAGAAGCGTAGAACAAGGGGAAAGAAATACCCGGAGAAACGAAGGATGACCCGAATGATACAATCTAGATAAAAGATAAGAGGTCAGCTCAAGAACTGCTGCTATACCAGGAAAGCCAGAAACCTTGTCATTCTTCATAGCAACATTCGCAACTGCATTGGCGAACGGGACACCATCCTAAGACCATTAAAGTAAGAATCCCATGTTTCCATACAAATGCAAAATGACGGACATGGGTCTGTCGAACAAACGCGTGACTAGCCGCTTCTCCAACAAAGCCAGATTTGAATGTGACGGTGCTGGGATCAACACCAAGGCTGGACGCAACGAACGACGTTGCGCTGTCCTCCATGCTCGAGCCGACGAACGACGACACTGGGTGATCAATGCCTTCTCCGAAAGTCTACGCGTTTTATCGTCAGCGTCTACGGAAAGGGCAACCCGCGGTATGAAACGTACCTCAAAAGTCGAAGGAGGATAGAACGTCTCGATTTGGAGGTCGCGACGAATGTTCCGTGTACGATGCGTGCCATGCTTGGACGACACCGCCCATGGGGCTGCTATTGCCGAACCCACTGCGAGGGAGATCACCAAGAGAGTACTGTGACGCGCTAACATGACTTGAAGCTCGGTCGAGGTGAGTTTCTCGTCCTTGCGTCCGCCATTTTATCCTCTCTTATCCGGAAGTAGAGAGCATGAATCTGCACATGCAATGTTAGAATAGTATGGAAAACTATGGGAATACAAAGACCTTTCATGTGCGGGAAACCCACGCCTGAGCATCTGGGGTGGGCTGAGACGCCCGGGTGTGAGACTGGGGAGTCGCGGATCATGGATTTTCTCCGTTTTCTCTACTATGAGTAAGACGGTCAACAAAACGAACGGAAGTGTGGGAAAGACTTTGAATGTCCGAACCACAAGGATGATAGAAGATCCTAGATAAGAGGTCCTTCTGAGCCCTGAGAATATGTGAGAGCAGGCAGAACCACACAGCGATAAGGATGTACGCGTATGGTACGATGCCTGATGACTGTTATCAGCATGGACGATAGCCCTTCATATATCTGAAAGATCCCACGAGATACCAGCGTCTATTTCACATAAGCCGGTACATCAAATTGTGCAATTCAGTTACAGACAAGTGCTGATGGCTGATGATCATAATGGCTTGGCAGTCCCTCGGGACTGTAAGCGAACGTTTGCATGGTAGGCGTCGATCAGGGAGCAAGCACAACTCCGTATGTCCGAAACGTCACACGAGCTATGACGCCGTATTCGTGCCGGGATATGTCAACTCTCGAGGTCCTCGCCAGAAGCGAAGAAAAAGCCGGAATTCACATCGGTGGTCCTTCCTCTGCTTATGATTCGGCATGGTCAGGCTACATCAGAAATCGAACGGGTAGCGAGACCAGCATCAAAACAATCGACCATACAGCAGTGGATGAAAGCTGTAACACTTACCTCGTTTCGCATTTAAACATTCACCTCTCTATCTTGATTTCGCGGTCTAATATCAAGATTGATATCCAGACGAACAGCGTCTGCATGGAATGTTATACCAGTTGATACATCAGAAAGTTTGCGGTATGATATCAGTAGAAAGAATCATCCCTCCTGACAACTGTTGTTTACTTAACGTGAGTAAAACAACAGCAACGAATATCACAAAGCACACTTGCAAGTTAGTGAATGCCGCAGTAACTCCTCTAGCCGTGTGCATCCGTACGATCCTTCACATAGTACATGTGCCTCACTAGTCGTACATGATCTAGTCGTATGGAACGGGAGATCACTGCACGCTCATCAAGCGTCGGGGAGCAGAGTTTTAAGGGGCGCTCAGAATGGTAATCAATGACGCGAACGCAGAGCAAAGATTCGTGCGGCAGAACGGCGCGAATCAGCACCACTAATTGCCACGCATAGAACTAGGGGCGGAACGGTGAGGAATGCTGGAAGGATACAGACTGGGACGTACTGAAATGCCCAGAGGCGATCCTATACTGTTTCCGGAGCCAGGGCTGAACTTTCACCACTCCTTCGCCATTTAAAACATCCCCTAGCGACCAGACGTAGGCTTTTCAAGACGCGTAAATTTCGTGGTAAACCTAAAAAACCAGTCAAAATCTGATACAGAAGGATAGCATCGAAAAGCCGTACGAAGTATAGGTTCTTGGTTAAGCTTCCACCGTCGTTGCTTCACTTCGAGGACCAAGGGACCCCGATATTTGACTAGAGCGACGTCCAACCCACGACTACATAGCAAGGTAATGTACCGCCCTTGCTCCAAAGACGGACACGCCCTTTTTCGAGTAAATTCGATCCATTGATAGAGAATTGGTTTGTTTTAGGAGTTACTGGCTTCACTGCACCGCTGGAAGAGCTCAAGGAGCATATTGGGCGATGTCCTCGAAGGTGGTGGCAGAACGAAGGATCGTTCAAGACGAAGCAAAACACGAACAAACTTTTCGGCCGTGACGCCAATCGATCAACAATCAAAATCCCACGGCAATGTCTTTTTTCAATCCCTTCTTGCAGTCTCGCGAGGTTCTCATTCCGATTCAAAACTAGAATCCCGAGGCCGTTACATTCTGTTGGCCTGTCTCCTCGGCCGAATTACACTCAAAGGTGTTCTGCTCGTTTGGTTCTCACGGCTACCTGGGCGCATCGCATCAGCATCGCTTCGAGTTACCTTGGCTGCGACATTGACTCTATAGGAACGTTTGAAGACTTTAACATGAATATATTCTGCAAAGATAGTCTCATGCCAACCGTCGGGGGTTTCATTGCTTCTGGCTTCTCACCCGAGTTGCCCTTGCTTCTTCTCCATCAAACATGTAATGTCGTATCCATGTGATAGGAATACCCTCTACGACCGCATGGATTCCCTCTCTCCACAAGGGCTGAGCACCATACGACCATCTTATCCTCAGCTAGCTATTCATTTTACTCTGCCTTAAAAGTGCCCCATGTCGCCATATCGTATCTCTAGGGTTCTCCTAGGCTCGCTGTCTTTCCCTGTCGACTCTTAGCTGCTACGAAGGAAATGGTCGCATTCAACAGCTTCTTCTCTCCAGTCCTAGTCGCTGTTCTCTACTCTTCGACATTGGTTAATGCCGCTCCATGGCCTACTTCGAAGCACGCGACTCATCGTGTCAGGACCATTGGACGAGACTTAAAGGTGGAGACATATCATCCCAAGTCTACGTATACGGTACTTAAACGATTACTTACCTCTCTCTCCTAAGCTGACAATTTTGATAGACATATGGCTCCGGCAAAGATACCTCAGGAGCAGCCTCGTTCAAGGCCGAATCGTTCGAGTCATCAGCTGTTTCATTCATCGCGTCTGAACTTGGGGTCAACACCTCTTCCGTTGGTTACCGATCAGGGCATTCGGTGGATAACATGAGCTATTCATATGCCAAGCAGTACCACGTATTCCTGTCTGCTCTTTCCTGATTTGTTCGTATATAACCTCTATTTCTGTTAGGATGGCGTTCCATTCGCCAACGCAGTAGCCAATGCTGCGTTCAAGAATGGCAAAGCTGTCGCATTTGGCTCCTCGTTTGTCGATACCTGTAAGCTTCTTCACCTCATTCTTGTTCCACCCCCATCTAATCTCCTCCATAGCAAATGTTGCACCCTCCATACCAAGTATCGCCCTCGACGGCTCTCTTATTAGCAAAGTCGAAGACACTCTCCTCGGGACCCACAACGGCGTAACATCTCTCGAATATCTAGCCCAGTCCGACGGATCTGTAGCCCTCACTCACGTCATTCAAGTCCAAAACAATGACACCAACGCGTGGTACGAAGCATTTGTTGACGCTCACTCGGGTGAGATACTCTCAGTAACCGACTTTGTGGCGCAAGCAACGGTAAGACCACCATCGTCTCCATCACCCGAAATTTACGCAACATCATCAGTTCACCGTCATCCCAATAATCAAAGACGCCGTCACCGAAGGCGAAGAGACGCTCGTTGACCCTGAAGACCTCGCTTCATCCCCTTCAGGCTGGGTACAGGACAATCAAACCGCGTACGTCTCTCGCCGCACGCCGTCCATCACCTTCTGATTACCCCAAAGCGGCAACAACGTCATAGCCTACAAATCCTCCCAATCAGCAACGACCTCTCAATCCTCCAACACCACCTTCGACTACCCTTACGACATCACCCTCGGTCCCACCAACGGATCCAACATCGATGCTGCACGCACTAACGCATTCTACATCATCAACAAAGTCCACGACTACGCCTACAAGTACGGCTGGACAGAAACATCGTACAATTTCCAAGCCGACAACTTTGGCAAGGGAGGAGCCCAGGGTGACCGTGTATTAATGGGTGTGCAGGATTCTAGCGGAACGAATAATGCCAATTTCGCTACGCCGCCCGAGTATGTTCTTCCTCCATATGATTAGTTATATGAATACTAATAAATGATTGTTTCTCGTTGTAGTGGTCAATCTGGGACGTGCAGGATGTACATATGGACTCTGACGACCCCTCAACGCGATGGAGCCCTCCAGAACGACATCATCGTCCACGAATTCACGCACGGAATTACTAACCGCCTCACTGGTGGCGGGACCGGACGATGCCTTCAAACAACAGAAGCCGGCGGAATGGGCGAAGGTAACCACCCTCTCGTCTCCATTACTCTATTCTAATTGACTATTCTCCCCAGGATGGTCAGACGCTATGGCAGAGTACGCATCTTGCTCTTCTACATCTCTCGATGGCCAATGAACCGCAAATTCCAGATGGACCGAACACAAAGACTCCTCCGTACCAGACTACGTTCTAGCAACTTGGGTGTTCAATAACACCGCCGGGATCCGAACACACCCTTACTCTACCGATGCCTCCGTCAACCCTCTCAGATACTCCTCTATCCAGAATCTGCACGAAGTCCACGGTACGCTCCCTGTTTGTCTCTCAGTGTCATCCTTCGTTCAATACCCAGTACTCAGATATCGGTGAAGTATGGGCAAATATGCTACACAACGTTTACGCAGCGCTAGTCCAAGCACACGGGTTCTCGTCAACGGCAATGGACGATCCCTCAGGCCCGGAAGGTAACATTGTCTGGCTTCATCTCTTCATCGATGCGCTTTCCCTCCAGCCATGTAACCCCATGTGTGAGTATCACTAATACCCATTCCACGGTGACTGGCTGATGAGTATACTGACAGTGCCGAACGCCCGAGATGCGTGGATACAAGCTGATCAGAACAGGTACGATGGAGCTAATAAGTGTATCCTGTGGAATGCCTTTGCCAGTCGCGGCTTGGGTATGAACGCAACGAATTATGTGGATGATGCGAGTGTACCAAGTGGATGTTAAGTAGAATTACAATACCATCTATTTATCATTTATTATGCCTGATAGTCCCGACAGCACCTCCCGCATCGATCTTGAATACAAAAAGGGGAAACGGATGTCAAAGGCAAGTTTCCGGTGCAGCATATACGCCGAGGTCATAACGTCTTCATCTTCTTTCTCCCATTTGTCACCCTGGCTAACAGATTTCCTACGAGCATTTGCGCCAGAGAATCCTAGACTCGGGCATGCGCTATAACCATTGACTGTAGCTGTAGTCGATATCTTGGAGAAACAGGCCACGACATTGAAGAAGGTACACTATCTGTATTCTTCCCTTCGACTTCGTGTGCTGAGTACTATTTGGTACTAGAATCAGTGAGGAACGTGTGATTGAGAAGGTAGTGGTGGGAAAGCGACGAGGGCAATGGGGATGCATACAGTGATATGTAAATATCAATAGGTATCGTTCATAATGGCATGTCTGTCTATATCTATTGATTGCCACGATGGATATCTACAGGCATCCATGGCTGCCTATGAAGCGAACATAGAATGAGCTATTTCAGCCATTGACAGATACCCATCAAATTATCCACTGATACAACGTCTTCACAGACTTTTGGCTGGGGCAATCAGGCTCAAGTATTCTCCGGTGAGTGAGACGGACGTCGGCAAAGGGAAAATTCGAAGAATTCTGATGAATTCTTCGTAAATTTTAGATGCGTGTGGCGTTGACTGAGACTTGATCTTGGTCATCCGGACATCTATTCTGAATGCGGACGAATTGCGGTCGACATATTGAATACAGCCACCCACGTCGCCTGTGGCTCATATTCTGCATCTTGTACCGCACTTTTGGTTCCTGTAGTCCATTGCGTTGACGTATTCTGGACAGATACCTGTCTTGTGTTGCTTCTCTAATCTCGAGTCTAGAGTCTCGATCCCTGTCTATATGTGTATGGTAACTCACACATCGACTGTCACCGTTCACTATCTAATAGCTACTTAGACATAGCGGCATATGCGTCTTTCCATGGTTTTTGCTACTAGGAGAAGTGGTGCCTCAGAACGATAGCATGCATCTGCAGAAGTGTTGCGAGCACCATATATGCGTGTCTATTAGCTTGCTTCACCGGCGCTTCTCAGCCTCTTGCCTATTGTAGCCGCCGTGATGGTCCACGTTGCTTCGAGCGGTCGCGCCATGTACTGTGTCTTATGAAGGGCTCTAGTGTCGTCTAGTCCTTTCTCATACCATCACCCATCGTACTACTGATCTTCCGGCGTACTCATGTTCTAATACCTAAACCCTCAGCATTTCGTGATCTTCCACTGGACAGTTCGAGCCTCTCATCATGCTCCACAGCGCGACTTAATGCAATGTTCCATGTATGTTTGGAAGCGATATCTACATGTTCTTCGAGTTCATCCAAGGCTGCAAGGCTGGAAGAAGGGAAATCTCCGATACAGGTACAATTTTCTATTAATGAGTCCTTACAGTGGAAATACGAGGCCTGTCAGATCCTGGATGACGGCTGCCGTATGAATGTCCGCTAGTTTCCTCGAGGGACAGCCAGTGCTGGCATTTCAGGTGGCGTTTCGAATACTGCAATATTTCATTCCATTCGACTCGGAGCTTCTATGATGCGTGGCGTTCAGCAATTCGAACTTGGCTCGAACTGGTGCGTGACAACTCAAAAAGCGATAACAAAGAACCAACCCTGAGGCACGTTTTTTTTTTCTTTGGCCGCTTGAAAGGTCTCAGCGTTTCCAAAGTTGTCCGCCGCGCCATTCTAAGTAGGTTTTGTGCTCTCTACTACCAGTAGTCCCACCCTCCTCCGAGCTCGGAAGCATGCCTCCACAACACGGAATAATCCCAGCGTTCGCAACGATGCCCGTAGGAGTGAGCAAATTGCTATTCCCTTAGGCGCGCGCCCCAAGCCGGAAGACATCGGGGCCTCGATTTGACCCTAGCACCATCACGTCGAACTCTTGATTCATTAGAGACACGGTTAATTGATACCCGTGTTGGTTCGCCAGACCCATGTTTGCCATTTCGTTCTTCTGAAAGGGTCGTTGGATGACTCACTCCGATGATTGTGCTAGGATTCATGACCGCCGTTACAGTTAACATTGTGATGAAGAACAACAATGCCCATCTTTTACCTAGATTGTATTCTTTAGGGATCCGCACCGTATACGGATACGACCATCAAATATACGGGTTGACCCGTCCCGTCACCGTATGGGCTGAAACCGTCGACGGTATGGGTCGTACCCGTCGACCGTATTTTTGGCAATGCCGCTTGACCCCCAGGGTCTTTCGCACCAAAATCAATCTAAGCAGATAAATAAGGCTAGTATCGGTCAGAATATAACAAACTGTAGGTGAAAATACCCATATTGAGGGACCCGTACTGAACCTGTAATTTTGCCAGCCTCCAGAATCCTTATACGGTACGGCTACGGTACCCGTATTAACCGTCCCGAAATTTCGTAATTACGGGTACCGTGTGGATCCCTAGTATTGTTTGTTAATCCATTATGAATATAGTGACGTCTCCGACATCCGTCCTGATCCGTCACCTTTGACGTGTTTACAGTGGGCCCTCATACGAGACGCCGACATATGTTAACACAACTGTACAAGTTCCTCTTGGAATTCTCTTCCCGCCTTTGGGCCCATTTCTCGGCCCCGCAGGCCACCTAGCGTCTCTCGCATGCACACAACATGCACAGTTGCACTGGTTACCATCGTACATGACCTGATGAAACTTAGAAGGCCTGTGTACCTATATCAGCCATCAGGACAATGGCGACGGCAGTGACTATTGTAGAATGTTTATATCCGAAAAAGAGATCGCAGGCTTTGTTTTGAAGTGAGTATATTCCATCGCATTGTTCCGGTCCCTTGATACAGCATCATACGAAATGTCGATGAAGAAAAATTGGACCAGATAGGTGTCCCTGGTGCCAGGTTTGTCCGCATCGATGTGACCTAACTTCAGCTTCCCACAAACACACGAATCATTTGATTACATGCTGCAGTTGCACAATTCTCATTTCTCATTATGTTCAGTAATATGGACGAGGGTATAAAATCTCAGTCCTATACCATACCCCTCAGGTAAACACAATCAGCCCGAACTTTCTCTTCGATGCCCATTACCTGGGAGCATGTACTGATACGCCTGCCTGGCGTCTACCCTTGGAAAACGCATATAAATCTTAATTTTATTATCCTACAAACTACGTTTGTAGCTGTGCGAGTAAGAAAGAACCTGCAAGGTACACAGCAAGAAGTGTTAAACCCCACTGCATCAGTAAGGACTCAGCCGTGACAAGCCTAAGGGCTTGGGCAACAGACCGGTGATCTGATGACTCAGCCCGAGTGACCGAAGGTCCAGGCAGGTCGAAAGCACATGGCTCCAGCTGAACCGGCATCCCAGGCACTGATGGCCGCCTGATGGCATCGGTCTGAAAGTAAGAATAACAAAACAAAGAACGATCGCGTACGGCTTTACTTACCTGGCAGCTTTCCTAGTCTCTCAGGCGGACGGTTGGCTTGCCAGGTAGATGAGAAACAAGAACCGTAACACCAGGGACTCTGACCCGGTACAGGTAAAACTTAGTATCATGAGCCAGGACACCAGATTGCGGCACAAGATCATGATCGGGTTCACCTGGGAGCTGGGATATGAGCTCATATCTGTCAGGAAGTGAGCTCATATCCACCCAGCTCAGTCAGCGGGTGCAGTAATAGTACCTGGAAAGATTGGAAATATAGATAGGGTAGAATAGTATAAATACTGTCCATGTAACTAGCGGGAGGTCAGGTTTCTGACCCCCGGAATGCTACCAAGCAAATTAGTATGGGTTTTGGTTAAGAGCTTCGAGTCCTAGACTCACCTGGAATTGTATTTAGTGACCTGGTCACGTTTTGTGTGCAAGAACCATTCAGAAAGCAGTCAGTTCAGAAAGATACAGACAGACAGTCAGAAGTACAGTCCAGAATCCGTGTTAGCACCAGTAAAACTGCAACCAGGCAGACAGTATCAGTTCAGACACTGCACCAGGCGGTTAGTACGCATTCAGGAAACTGCACCAGGCAGCCCATTGGTATCAGATTGTGTTCGGTAACACAGAAAGTCCAGATTTGTGTTGTTTCAGAATATTGCAATCAAACAAATTATATTCATTATCAACCCGGAACTAGTATCCACAGTACAAGCATCGACCCGGTGTAACTTACCCCTTCGAACCGCAATTATTGAGTGTGTTAGGGTGTGTGTGTGTGTAGCACTTCGCCTTCCTTAGCATAGTTAGTACCTTTCAGTACCACTGTTACTCGTTTTTACACTGCTTGTCCTTGAGGCGCTCGTCGTCGTAGGACTTTTTTTCCTAATCATCGAACACTGCAGACGGCGTCGCTTGCATAAGGTATGTCTAAACTTCCGTCACCCTCTGACAATGTCATTTTGACTTGTACTAGGCAGATCAGCAACTCATCATTGACTCGAGCTTGGAAGACCTCGAAAAATGCATACAAGTGTTAGAGAAGGTCGGGTCAGACTTAGCGGAGCGGATGGGGATGTGTAGGAAGGATTTTGACTCAGATGCTCTGCATCCCATGGTCAAGCAGGAAGCATCATCGAACAGATTTTATTCATGGGATCTAGAAGATCTAGGCATGCTCCATCATAAGCGCTTAAACCACAGTCGCATTCTGGGGAAGAAAGTTCCAGTCAAGCCGGTCCCGCGTTCTTTACCCCCAGGTGTAAGTTCATACCTTTAGTGATTGGCCTTCACAGTGATCAGTGGTGCTTTAGCCCCCATTCTCTGTCGACGCTTCCTGATTCTGGGTTGTCCTCATTGGAATTGATGGGTATCCAGACTATCCGCTGCGTGGTTGCGTATCTGGTGTGCTATTAATGGAGAAATACTTCATGGGAGACCTCCAGGTGCCCAGGGATCGCATCCAGTGTCTACTTGGATCCTGGAAGCATACCTCCCTTGAAGATTCATCATACCCTTCATGCACCCACATTATCGACGCGCTTCTCGGAATCATTACCAACCCTGACGTCAAGTACGGCGACAATATCGTCATCTTCTATGCTGGACACGGGTCTTATTACTCAGATGAGAAGGACCATCATGGCGTATCCGGATACATCGAAGCACTTTGTCCAATCGATCGCGGCTCGGTTAGCGCCAAGGGTGCCCTCATCCCCGATATTAGCGATCGGGAACTCAATACCATCCTAACCCAAATCTTCCGAGCCAAGGGGCACAGAATCACTGTCATCCTCGACTGCTGTCACTCAGGTAGCGTTAGCCGTGAGCTACCTGAACTGGGAGCCCGCGTTACTCCTGTAACAAGAGGTGTTACTCTTGAGGATATGCTCCTCGTCGGGGATAGTTATTTGAGGTCTTATCCTGGATACAGGTCCATTTTATCCCAGGACTGGTACCCAGACGTGGTCTCCCATGTTTTACTAGCTGTATGTAAAGAATATGAGTTTGCAAAGGAAAAGGAGGTAAAAGGGGAGGACAGCACGGTGGGATACACTGGAATTTTCATGGACTCGCTTGTGTGTGCTCTTCGGTCTGGCTATTGGAGAAAGGAGACGACATATGCTGATATCCCTTTCGGTTTGGATGAGTCGCGCCATCAGACACCCATGGTTTCTGGAAAATACAAGGATACACGTCTCTGGTATCAGGGATAAAATGGCGTTGAAGGACATGTGCGCCTCAGGGTCCAACCATAGAGAACTAGACAGAGCATCCTTTTCTTTTATACTCGTATTTATTTCTTCTATATATAGTGTGCTTCGATATAGATGCTAGAACTCACGTAACTAGACTGGTAATACGTATAATTATATATCCCCCTACTATGTGGCCAATCGCCATTGCCATAATGCACTTAATGCACTTGGATTGATAGTAGATAAAGTCGTACTTCGACTTGTACAATCGTTGGTACGACGCCCATGTTCATTGCAAATAGTTATCAAAAAAAGTTATCCTCGTGCTGAAGATTACTCGTTGAGCAGTCTGCGAGTATGGATGAGCTCAGTGAACATATAGGCATTTCTTCTACTAGCCCTCTACACATACGTGAAACTTCACCATATGATGTCTAGTTGAGGATGGGGTATGTACATCAACACTTCAAGGCTTCCTTAATATTAAAAATACACCGAGTCTTCGATAACCTCGAGCAACCGGAAGCAGATGATGCCAAGTCCAGAAGCCTCCATCTTAGAATATATGTCAAGTAAGAGAAGAGAAAATGACAAAAGAATTACAGCAAACGGCGAGTGACATACTTTTCCACCAGCAAGAGGTAGGTGATGTTGGAGCTCGTGGCTCGTGTCTTTATTGGTAATTGGTAATCAGTCACGTGTACGTACCGCTATGCTTTTCTCTTCTTTACTCGATTGACTGCGTACTCTACCGTTCATGTACTATGTCAATCCCATATTCGTTTCCTGATCCCTCGTGTGCTTCCGTACCTGCAAGAATTATCTCAACACAATCGAGTCACGGTTGGCTACTGTTCACCACCACTGCAGCAAGGACCAGCTGCTTGGTTGCTACGAGGAGTCTTTTCCCACCAGCGTGCTCACCGCCGCCTCTCCCGCTTCCCACCTGCCAATGTCTATGAAGAATAACAAGGTTTATGCCTTGTTTATGATGGCAGCTTTTGCCCTAACCTCTTATCTGTTATCTAGATTGTATCATTCAGATCATCTTTCATGTCTCCTGGTGCGCGAATTCCCGTTCTAGTCAGCAAATGCTCTTGACTGATGCATACATAGCAAGTATCGCTCCATCGACACCGTGGCTCCAGAAGACGCCATATACTCCACCTGGCATCTTTGATTAATTCCAACCTGCCCTCAAGTACGGGCCAAGGACAACAGCGCCGTCATTCTCACATACGTAATGCCTCGAAGCTTTTATTTGATGCGCACACGGGCGACATCATTTCGGTGACGGGGACTTTGTTTCCAAAGCTTCAGTATGTGCGCCTAAAAACACCTACGCAGTGTCGGGTTCTTCCATTCAATTACAAGGTTCCCAGTGAAAGTTTCGCAATGGTTACAGCTCCTCAGGATCTTGTGGCCTCTCCCTCGGGCCGGCATTCTTAGTACTGGAATGGCTACTACCACGTAAGTTCCCGACAGTTTCCTTTGCTTAAGCTCTTTTCTAGGGATACTTCATGAATGCTTTTATGCAAAGTAATATCGAACCAAATTCAACTCTTGCAGAGGAAATAACACTATCTCCTTCAAAGGCATTAAGTCAGTGACTACGCAGAATGTTCGACCAGGCTCAATTTCATTTACACGTGTAATGATGGCTTGACGTCAACCATGGCCGTGAACCTCAACAATGCGCGAACAAGTTTTACACAGTGAATAGTGTCCACAACCTCCAATATCAGTATGCATATCCGCACCTATCGTTTCAATGGGTTCATTATTAACAGCCATGTCCATAGGTATGGTTTCACTGAAGCACATTCCGATTCTTTTCTTTTCTTCGCTGATTTAGACTAATGTGCTCCCTGTTCATCAGTTGTCTTTCAACCTTCAAACCATTTCGGACTGGGTGGTGCCCATAACGATTGGATGATAATATCTGACCAAGACTCGGATCGCATTGTTGACATAGTTTTTGTTACATCTGCCCAGTAAATCATTTCTCCGAGCCAATCTTAATACTGATGTCCCTTCATAGTGCACAGTACGACTGCATGAGAATGTTTTTCTTCGTTTTTTCTACATTTTTCATCCTCAAGCTTGATAAAGGTGTTATTGTGGGAGTTTATTTGTTAGCCACTAACTCTAATCGACTTAGATCGTGCTAGGATCCCTACTCGCACTTCGGTAGGAGATGAGCTAGCAGGTCAAAGGCGATGAAAGTTGATGGGACAGATAGTCACGAAGGACGGAGTTCGATATTAGGTAGATTAAACCTTAGCCGAAGCTGGGGTTTAGACCAGCTGAGGCTCTACTTAAATACACGTTCGATATGCTAATAATAGTACTGTGAGAACGCGTCTGCTGTGGTCGCATATGAGTAATCAAGCTGAGTAAAACAAAGAAAAGAAGAGAAAATGAATAAACCGTAACATTATTAACGTGAGCTTTCACTTTTCGAGTGTTTAATCATTATCAATACCTTCCCAGCCGGAGCATGACGGCGCTGATGGCGCTTTCGAAAATGTGTCAATTATGAAAGCAACCATGGTCTCATGACTTACGGGTGGAAGATGTTTGCAGACTCTTGATGCAGGCGATATGGGTGAAGGTCTGTAATCAGTATTCTTGGCGAGTGACTTATTAAGTCTTGATTCTTTTCTGCAGGTCGGATAAATGCGATAGCCAAGTAAGGGCTTTGTCTTCAAGACTCATCGATGAAAAGGCAACCATGGCTGGACCTAGGAAAAGATCGTTTGCTCTGATAGTGTTCTTGCCTCGCCACTGTGAACTAACTTCCTCTCATATAGCAATCATTCATCTCGTTTGAGAATACACTATACAACCATTCATGACTGAATGAAATGCCTGCTGTAGGTCTTTCAGATCCTTGTCTACCTCGTCTAGGCGAACTCATCGCAGCTTATTTCAGTCGAACCTACTTTCGAGGAGGTAATCGAGGAATCTTTGTTGGCACTTGTGCCCTGGGACACAAGAAGCTAGTTCTTGCTTTCCAATTTATTTCCTAACAACAAACATTCTAGCCTTGTGAGATTTGCACTTTCTGCTGTGATTTTTATAACAGTGACGCCATTTGGTATGTTCCAGAATTTCATCAACACGGTTGTCTCAACTGAATCCATGTGCATTATAGGATCAATGCCATCCAGAAAGCTCATGAAAGACAGTCTGCGCCCGCTCGCTCTGCAAGAAAGGAAGAACCGCAACAGGGCGGCTTTGAATGTGCACAGTCAACTGTAGAGTATATTTGCTTGTTAATTGTTGGTGTATGACTTGGAGAGCTAGGATGAGATCTTAAATTTAGGATTTATATGAACTTGTATCTTTACATGAGATATCTTTTGTTTTAGTTCAGACGAATCATGATTAAATATTCACATTTCTAATGATGCATGAATAAAACAGCTCCACGAGGTCTATACTATCTTAGTCTAAGTACATGGGTGCTCTTGAGCTCCATTAGACCTACGGAAGGTAGTGTCGTCTCGGTTCATGTGTTCATTGACACATTTATCACTTGTCTAACAAAATCAAAATTGCCTTCCTGCACTGAAAGTTCTCAAGGCGGGCCATGTTAAGGGTGGATGCGTTTGTTATTTTTTTATCACTAAATTTCCAAGGAAGCAATTCAAGAAGGTTCCCCTCAGAAACTAGTTTGCGTTTCTCTTGCTGAATTTGGATTTTCATGTACATGTATGTCCACACATTTTTGTCATGGTCTGGACATAGTTCAGGTGTGAACACAGCGAATTATGTGGATGATACACGTGTTCCAAGGAGATGCCAGTGAAATTCAGATAAAGAAGCTTTTTCCTACATTGTTCTGATAGACCATGTATACCATTCCATATACCTTTTCTTCAAGCCACACTGCTATCGCGACTGAGGCTTGGAGATGTCTACTCGCTGAGTAATGACAAGAACAAGGCTTCATCGATGGGCTCATTATTCCAGCAACCATAAGACTGGGTCTTCCGCACAACAACCACCTAGAACATCATTGAGGTGGTGCTGCAACTTTGTCATTTCCGAGTCGGACGATGTTAATAATTCCCTAGAGACCAACTAGGTAATGCATCAAAATGGTGATTATGGCTTAGGCCAATGGTGCTTTACAAGATTCACCTATCATTTAGTTATGGATGATATAGGTAATCTATACTCTCGTATGATAACGGCGACCAGCCAAAAATTGGAGCACATAAATCAAGTCAATCGCGAATCTTGTTACAACATTCATCCAGGATTTATGTATTACCTTGCTGGATAACGAGTAAGGCTGCAAGCAGCAAAGCCCACTACCTTACATAACCTCTTTCTGATTTTTTTTTTCGCAGCATGCAGGGTACGTTAGCATTATGCATGTTCATTGAAAATGTGGATGGAAAAATACAAGTACGAAAAAACTTTATCTTTCAAACTTCAAACTCTGTTTTTTGCATTTGTCCTCCAATTTCTGAACAGAGGAGCATCTGTGCGATGTTGCTTTCAAGGACAATGGCGTACTTACGTTTGAGCATGACATCGATCGTATCTGGATGACATCAATATAGTTATATTTTACGGTGTCGAGCGTACCTCCATTCTCCATCTCATACGTATTTGGCATGTTGTGGGGGTTCAGACATTGTCCTTCATATATAAATCTACCATTCAAATGTGAGTAACACCTTGGAATTATAATTGTTACCTACTTTAATTCATCTACTTCCTTTCCGATAGTCTCGGCATAGACATAGAATAGCTTCCGTAAAGATGTGGTAGTTTTGAGCTTAAATATGCGTTCATATCCAGTGGAGGCAGCTATCTGATCGAGAGTTGAGCATAATGTTACACAGCGACCAAATCCATATCTCGCCTTTATAGTTATAGGACTTGAATCCGGGAGTTGTTGTACGTCATTAATTTCGATTTTGGGGGGAGGCGTTAAATGAGAGGAAGCTGCGAAGACTGACATGTAGGTGATGTCTGTTTGAAGGGTAGTAGAACGTAGTTTTGTATGTGGTGGGACAAGGTCTTTTAGTCAAGCAATTCTCCATCAATTGTACATCTAGCACACAACCACACAGCAAATATGATGCATACACATTAATCCATATAGTGACAGGAATCGAGGAGCGTCAACACGGTATAGAAGCTAAAATGCGACAAATTAACATCAAACACAAGCATTGAGGGTTTGACGTACACCTGGAGGGCGGGGATGCACTGGAAGTTTCTGCTGAGCGTGAATACCGAAAAACGGAAAACATGAAGTTTTTGAAGTATTTCCAACAAACAATCGTTGGAAAGGAAGAACTTGTCCTTGGCTGCAAGACAAAATGCAACCGAATCGACTTGCGCATCTCCAGACAGTGGTTATAATTTTCCGACCATAGCAGCTACTAGCCAAAATGAGGAACATTGGTCTAATAAATAATGGCATTGCAACATCTATGCAGGGGCTTATGTGCGAAGGGAAGAAGCGCATAGAAGGTAACCAAAAATAATGCCTAAAATAGTAAGATAGATCCAGCAGTGAAAAGAACCTCTCATCGAGCATTTGTGGATTGGTCCATGTTGCGAGAGAGCATCAGGGACTGCTACAGCACCAATGACCGTCTGATGATCTGGATTATCGGACTGGAAACTTCGGGTATTCATTTCACGATGGGGTTTACTCTGATACCAGAGATGAGCATCTTGATGTGTTCCAGCAATGACCGGCGTCTGATGAACCGACTCATCGAAGGCATCAAGAAGGTCAATATATGTCGTCCTTTCATTGCAGTAGCTGGACCATAGAACACGCAAGAGCGAATGTGTGAAAATTCCCACTTGCACTCCATCCACCCACCTCTCTCTCGCAAATTGGTATGGCTTGCACGCAGCCAAAATGACATGCGAGTTGCAGTCCATCTTCCAGTCCTGCGACAAAATAGATGGGCAATCAAATCTCTTGAGATTCTTCTCCCCAGCATGGAGCATATCTCGAACGGTTGCCCATCTCGTTCCACGGCAAGTATGTGCTTCTTGGGGAGGCACTCCTGGGCCAACGCCCCCCGAGTGACAGCAGTCGAGAATGACAGTGATGTGGTGACCCTTCGATCGGGAGATTAAAGTTAGGATCGTGTTCAGTTCCCTGTCACTAATGTCAGGAACAGCATTACCGTTCGCATCACAGGTGTCCCGATTGATAGGACAAAGTGCTTCAATGCATCCGACACTTCCAAAACTGATTTCTGCTCCATCGTCTGGTTTCTTGGCATTAAGGTGACCTGAATATTCATAGGAGGAGCCATGACCGGCGTAGTAGATGATGATGTTATCGCCTTTCTCGATCTCTTTGTTGTTCATGAGACTGAGAAGCACATCGATGATATGGGTGTGGGAAGGATACATTGGATTGGCGGGAGAATTGTGCTGTTTGGATCCGAGAAGAAGTTGGATATGTCCCTCTGGTATGCCTAGGTCAGCAATCAAGTACTGATGAAATGATTGCATGTCTGTCACGCCACATTCCAGTATTGAGATTTCTTTATATTCATCAATCCTGATGATGACAGCCCAGAATCGAGAAGCGTCGACTTTGTGTGGTGGCTGGGGAGAGATTGGGGTCAGGGTTGACCTGTAAGGATATGTACTCATGCCGCTGGGTAAAAGGTGATCTTCTACATCAACATGGCGTCGATGACTACTTCGTCACTGTATCAGCACAAGGCATTTGCTATATTGTTTGAGAGTCTCATTGAGGTCGTCGAGAAGGTTTTCGACCTTGTCATTTCCACTATGGCCCACCTTCTGAGGCATCCCTAGCTCCTCTGCTATCTGCGCCCTTAGCTGTGTCATTTTTTCGCTTAGTTCTACTAAGAACAATAAGCTAGCGTATCAGCATAGATAACTTGAAACACAAAAAGACTGACCCAAGTCGGCTTCACCAATGTAACTCACAGGCATCCACCGAATATCAGCTACATCCAGCTCATGCTCTCCTAATGATATTCTTTCATCCCTTGGGTCGTCTGAGTATCAAGAATTTGTATTTTTAGCATAGTTAGATCGCAACGACAAGTGCACGAGACTAACCTATGGGGGTATGGTCATGACCATGGCCACTGAAGCTGATGATGAATATTATGATAGTAACAGAACGATCTATGGAGGCTCACTTCCTACGATCTATCTCGAGTGATAGGTCTTGAGTGTTCATCACAGTCTAAGAGAAAGCTGGGCTACTCTTGTAGAAGGTGATGCGGGGGTGTAGGGGGTCGAGGAGTAATTTATGTGATGAAGTGCCTGGCTTATGAGTTCTCTAAGTATTGGCACACTTTATCTGTTCTTCATAAACTTTTAATTTCGGGACCTCTGTCATGGTCTCTTGGCATTCTGCAGGCTACAGCATGGCAGTGGTATGGGTACCATGTCCTTGGATTGCCACTGCAATGAGGATGAAACCTGACCAAATGATTGGTCAAGTAACTGATGCATATTTATATCCAAACATTAGTAGAATGGCAGACACACATTTGCATAAGCCGGGATGTCATATTGGTGGATCAGTGGTAGCAAGTGTCGAGGATTACACGGATTGGCCATAGCTTGTCTGAAGTCAAGCAAATTGTCCTAGGGACTGAGATTAAATCATAACTTCTGTTGGCACTGGATGCCTGGGGGATCGATATGATAGCCCAGGGAGGTAGCTTTGAAATTTGAAGTTGGAAGACAATCATGAGGAATGCGAAATGATATCTATGGAAACACCTTGAATGTCTGGATTTTCACATCCTCAGAGGACACAGTTCACTGGGAATCAAGGCATTCATCACAACATGGACGCTAGCCCACCTGGCGGTTGATAGGTGGCAATCACAGCCTGTGATCACCACCTATCATCTGAGTCAGCTGGATCATTTTAGATAGTAAAAAATGAAACCCTAAGAAGTTCTGTTTATAAACGAAGCCTTTTTCAGTCTCGAAAAGCCTGTTCATAAAACTGTATGAAAAATCTTTCCCCCATAGAACAATGGGATTGAGACAACTTTTCATTTACAGCACTCGAAATGAGTACATAAAAACTGAAGCTGGAATTGAACCCTTTTAGAATCCTGTTTTACGCCATCAAAAAGGCACCAGCCATTGCAGTGGTGAGGATGAATGATCACACGAATGACATACCCTATTCTTCTTCCCACTTAGTCTAATATGATAGCCTGGGATGCCAGCTGCCATGAGCCTTGAGGACGACACGCTGCTACAGAAGGAGTACTAGTAGGGAGGTAGTAGTGTTTTCTCACAGGGAAGGAGGGGTTTAAGGAGCTGATATCTTAATGGATCAAAAAGCAACCATGAATCTGCCAGAACAACAGCGGCTTACTTCTGACATGAGGCATTTGAGATGGATTGCATCTGAGTCGGCATGCCGCATGAGAGGAAGGTGTATAGCTAACTGTTTTACTTACCTTCAGATGCTCCCTGCCAGCTCTCACCGGCACATACAATGTCTTCCGGAGTGGTGCCTCAAGGAGAAGAGTACTTTCCTTGGGGTGGAAAGTCAGAAACTGCCGTACGTAATATGTAACTTTAGATGTAAAGGATCTGCCATGCGATGGGTCTTCAACCCAGAAATGAGTATGAGTCAGGCATATATTGCCAGAGAAAGCTAGGTCAAAGACACAAAGGCATGGTAGAAACTAAAGGTTAAAGAAGGAAAAGAGCTGAAAATGGTGCATATGTAGCAGTCCAAAGGCATAGGTAAACAGAAAGAAAGAAATGATGTAGATAACTGGTCCATAAATAATCCGTATCCCTTACACCCTCCCCCTTGAGATTGGGTGCAGGGAATCAATCTCGATGAAAGAATGAAATTACAATAAGATACTTGTATTGTTGTGTGAATCGAGCTCGTCGGCTTCGCCATCAACGTTTGGTGTCGAGCCTGAGGGGATGGTCATCGTGATATAGGCCTTGGTTGATGGGGAAGCGGTAAGAGCAATCGTCGAGTGCGTAATAGATGGACCTGCATTAGAAGCATCGCCATCTCTAGCCAAAGGTACGTCCACATTTCCGGTCATGGGCAAAGAAGTCGCAGCTCTGTATTCAGGTGCTGATGGCCTCTATTGGACTTGCTCACGGCCTCCCGATTAATTGGGTAATTGAGGAAATGTCCATGACATGCTTTGACGATCAGAAGTAAGTCCCAGTCAATGGGAGCCTCCCATAGATCCAAGGAGCGGAATTGTCCTGGGACATGGAGATATCATGAAAGAGATCAGTAATAAAATGATGAGTATCAAAATTCCTAGAACAGCTGCTATGCAGTGGCAGAAATTAGACATCAGAAGGATCACCATGTGATTGCGAAGATGCGACACATGAGGTACTCGTTGAATCATCCGAATCTTCTGAATTTGCAGAGCTCCTGATGTCGGTGTGATTGTTAGTGGTCTCCATGGTATCAGAATTGGAGGGGACAGTAGAAATTGAGGTACTCATTGAGCAATCACTTCCATGTTCACTCACAGAGTCCTGAGTCCCACTGGAATATTCAGACCGTGTTTCTGGTGTCCCGCGTCAATTTTCGAGCACTTTGGCATAGTGGGAGTGTTGTGGGGAATAGTAAAGCTCTGCTTTCGAGCCTCACTCGACAATTAGAGCTTGCTGCATGATTTGATTAATGGTTGAAGCTTCAGCCATAATTCCCTCATGAGTAATCTCACAACGGATTTTTGTGGGTAAAGAAATAAGCAACTGATGCCGGAATGAATAGCCCTCAGGCGGAGATGGCATCAGGTTTGCAAAACGCCTAAGGTCAGCGAATAATTGGCGTACACCACCATTTGACACATAAGTAACACTCTTGAAGTGTTGCACAATGTCATAAAGTGAAGATTCATGAATGAATCGTTGGAAGAGACCATTTATGACTTGCATAATGGTCAGAAAGTCGTCACAAACATTTCCGTTTGAATCTTCTATGGAATTGTTGTACCAGGTGCATGCATCTCCAGCTAAAAATGTTGCGAGAGTATTAGTATGCTGAATATCAATATCTGAAACTTGAGAAGTGCCTGAGTCATCTGTGAGGTAGACAGGGCCACAGATATTGGCAATCTTCATCCAGCAGATGACTGAAAATAGCCAACTGTCAAATTCAATGATATCCGAGCCCCCATGGAATTTGTGAGGTCATGGAATACTTTGCAAAGATGTCCTTTGGGCATTAGAGTCGAGTCCATGTTGAGGAGTAAGAAGATTTCGAGCTATGAGATGCTCAAAAGGCTGGAAGATGGCAAGCATGACATCAGTCTCACTCCGAGGAACAGGATGATATTCAAATATCTCCTTGTCATTAAATATTGGGTTTTCGGAACAATGTCGCACATCTTGGAATGGTGCAGATGAAAGTGAATGCTGAGGCCTACCCAAGGGTGGCCGCTGTGAAGCTGAATGACGAGGATCTGAGTCTGAACTCATGGGAGTATGACTTGGGACTAGTGATGTGTGGGTCGGGTCGGGCCAGGTTTTGCAGGCTTGGGCTGGGTAATTCAGGGCCTGGGTTGAGATTTTGATGAGCCCGAGCCCTAAGCCCTGACCCTCACTGGGTCGGGTCGGGCTTGGGTAGTAGGCCTGGGCTTTTCATGTACCTGCTTGTTTTTCTGGCACCTCAGGCTCATCACATTCCTCCAGGGTCTCATCATTGGTACGTATGCATTTGGACTGCCGAGGTACAGATGGCACAGCAGTATGCTCATCGTCACCTGATGGGTTTGGATTGTCAGGACCACGTTTTCGCGATGATGAGGGTGGTGGTGGCGATGTACTTTCTCCATAGCGCTGTGGATGCCGATGATTGCATCTTCCATTGACAATAAGATTAGGATCGGGCTCATCTCGTGCAAGCATGAAGGACAAAGCAATTACTACGATTTTTTCAGTATTTTACAAGTTATTTGTACCATGTAAGAACTGTACAGTTTATCAGCCACCAAAGAGATGAAATTCAAATGACAGGACATACCTGATATAGTCTCCACTTACATATCTGATATCTCATTACATAGACCACTTGGTATGAGAGTGTCCCTCATCGTTTTCATGCAGTGAGAGTCGGAGCGCAGAGGTGACCATGGACGTGAGAGTAAAGAAGGCTGGGATCAGTCAGCACCACAATGGATGCCATCCAGCATCAGACGGTGACTTGGATTACCGGGCCGAAAGCCCAGGGTTAAAGCCCAGGGCTTGGGCTTTCCAAAGTCGACACCTGAGCCTTGAGCCTGCCAAAGCCCTCCACTAGGGCCGGGCTTTTCAGGGTCAGGTCAGGCTGGGTCAGGCCAGGTAGCAGGCTTTAAGCCTGACCTGGACATCACTACTCGGGACTAAGTTCACATTCATATTCCCTCGAGACTGATTTTCAGGGGAATTAGAAGTGGTGGTACCATGTTGTGCACCAGAATGCTGTTGGCATGGGTGTTGACCTTGTGACAGTGTAGGGGATTGTGATGGTGCACATTCTTGGATAGGTGCTGATGCCCTAACAGGGTATACTTTCATTTCGGTTGAACCTTGAGGAGAGAACTTCTTAGGTTCGCGAAATAAGGATGAGTCATGCTTAATAAAAACAGGCTTCTCAGCTGGAAGGCTGTGTGTCG